TAAGATAAAGAAGATTTCGCTAAGATTAAACCACTGTTAACTTTTTAAAAAGCTAAGTGCCTTGGAATCAATTCTCAAAAATATATTTGCGTCGAGTTCGGTCGCATTGAATTACAAAAAAACATTGTTGACCTTGGGTGGTTGAATCAGATTTTGGTGCATCAGAATCCAATCTAAAACTGAGTTGGTCAATTTAAATAGCGCTACAAAAAATTGATTCATGTCGATACTGGTTCTAGTAGTCTAGTCATCTACTGTTGTTGCAGTGACAGAAAAATTGATTGTAGTTTTTTCAAAATTTTCGATCAAGAGGAACATTTTTTGGAATGTTCGTCTAATTACTTATCAGAATGGTCTTGAATAATGATTTGTTCTTTTTACATTGAAAAACTTTTCAAAATAAAGACAATTTATAGAAGAATTCTTGAAAACTCACGAGAGAGTCTCCGAGGTCTAATCGTGCGTTTCAGATGAGACATTCCTCAGTAGGTAGGATTTATTGAGACTAGACAAGTCTAGAAGGGTTTGTACCTACATGTTGTCCTTCCTGAATGATGACCATTCTACTGAACTTTTGATTCTTGGTACGATACTCATAAAAAATCCGAACAAACAAATTTGAACCTGAAATCAGCCTATGTTTTTTGTTGGTTTGATATCTCAAAAAGGCATCATTCATTTTAGCTGAAATTTTCAGGATATTCGAGTGGTGAGTGTGGGTGTGCGTCTCTCAAAAGAAGAATTATAACTATACTCACATCCTTACTTAGGCTCAGCCCGGCCCATTCGAAGCTCTGTTCACTTTATCATGTAGAGATGATGTTAAAAAAAATATTTATTAGAGTTGAAATCTAAATATTCAGGTAATCAAGATATAACAACAAAAACAAATACTAACAGGTTTTACAAATAAAATATTAACAATAAATTAAAAAAATATATTTATATAATTTGTAGATATTCATCAAAAAAGGCTTATAAACGTAAAAACAGGATTAAATAAAAATGATAATCAATCTTTTATTCAACATCATCATTAGTGTTGTCATTGAATGGGTGTGGGTGTGGACGAAAGGAAGACTTCAAATTGCACCCACACCCCAAATATTAGAGCAAAAGCTTTTTATACCTATTTAAATCACAGATTAATAGTTTTCATCGAAATTTGACTATTATCACATTAACTGAGGTATGATGACAATATAAAGCACTGTTTGTGCTATCACTATATATAAATATAATTTGTTCTAGAACCTTCTATACTATATGTCATGGCGCTAGTATCCTTACTTTTAGTATGTCCTAGACATTTCTTTTTTATTGAAACGATGAGATGGTATATATAATAAGAGTAAATCTATTTAAAAAAAATAGTTATTAATCTTATTTAGTTGTTCCATGAGAGATTAGTTTAAAAAAAAAAGATCTATACAATTTTAGAATGTAGAAAAAAAAGATATTGTTTAAATGATTATATTTATTTATTTAGCATTAGCTTCAACAAAATTCAATATTATTACAATTCTTCTTTTTGTTTATATTATATCTGGATCTATTATTGCTCATCCTATTTAAATATAGAATGATCAAGTATGAAAACAACATCGAAAATTTTATTATAATTTTACTAACATTTTATACTAACACAAAATATATAATCTTTTTAAAGCACAACGTTTTTATTTATCTTAATAATTTCTTATCTATATGTTAAATTTCTCTTTTTTCTTTCTCACCTTAATCAACAACGTTTTTTGGTTAATTTCAACTATTTCTTTTCACGTTTACATAAAAAGTGTGTCTGACATATTTATAAATATGAATTTAATTACACCTAAAGCAAATTATATTTATTAGTATGATCATAAACATCTCATAACTTGAACCATTTTTGACCCATGTGTAGTGAACAAAAATTAAAAGTGGTTTTTAAGAAATGTTTTGTTTTCGATATAAATAGGCAATTATATGAGTGTGGGTAGGGTCCTTCTCTTCATTCACACCCACACCCTCGTGTGTTTTCCTTTTTGCTTTTTATTTTAAAAATAATAATGATATACTACTTTTCATTTTTTTTGTGACCAATCTCACTATTTGCATCGATTGGTGTTAACTCGAAATGGACAAGCTTTACCTTCATTTTATTAGAATAGAGAGTAATCTGTTCGCATTTAGTTAAGCACACATATAGGTACATATAACTTGAAAAGAAAGAAGAAAAACCAACGATAGCCACAAAAGAGCAAAGAAGAGAGAATGAACCGAGGATAATGATGATGATGTGATATGCATGTTAAAATTTGTTAAGATGCTTCTTTGAACTTGCAATCAGAAAGCACAATGAGTATATGAGCTAGTACATGTTGACTCTCATGATTACAGAAAGTCAAACAATTCCATTGTATCGATTATTTTTCTTGTATTTTTTGAGTTTTATTTGAAACAGAGTTTTTATAGTCATTATAATCGACATAAGTACCGAAAAGTTGATCAAAATTTATCAATGTCGAACCATAATTACAATTAAATTTCGCATGATGAAGATAATGGAAACTAGAGTCACCACCTGGATCAGCATAACCGTCATGACCACCTATGGGTGATATATCAGCGTGAAATTTGGCATAAAGAAAATGCAGTGGATGACATGAAAATAATAATGGAAAATATGTGCACGTGTAATAGATAAAATGTTCAACAGGATGCATGGATAAACCACTCCATGGACCAGGATTATAACTTTTATGATGTAAGCTATGAAAATGTTTGTAGAAGACAGCTCCTATATCACCATCTTTTAAACCATATTTAATATTCCACCATGGATGTATCACACGATGACTCCAATAAAAATGAAATTGTCTCCAATATGTAATCAACAACAATAAAAAAATAGAATACAATGGATATTTCCAAAATTCTGCATAATATTGCACTCTACCACTTGCCCAAAGCCACATCATTGTACATTGAATCATCGCTGAATGTAACCAACCTAATGTACTAATTAGAATTTCACGTTGAAGAAGATGTTCATTTTTTCCATCATGACATTCATATGGATTTATTGGATTAAACTTTTTTTCTTTGAATTTACCTTTGGAATAAATACTTTCATACGTTAACCAATGCCAAAAGCCGCATATAGTAAATTCGCATATTAAATTAAATAAAATGACCTTAAGTACCCAATAAAGGTGCCATTCTTTTGCTTCTGAAAATGTTTTTGGAAAGAGAAATAGCCAACAAATCAATGCCACATTAAATTCAAGCATACGAGATATATGGCAACCAATTAAATTTTTATAACACGATTTTTTCCATTTAGGCCATTCATCGTAATGATGAAGGAGTAATGTAGGTAACTTTTGTTGACCATAATGTAAACGAATAATGTTAATAATACCACGTATGCCGATTCCCATAATGATCGTGTTCTAAGATCTGAAGTATATAAAGATATTAACTAATCATAGAAGATCATTCTATTTCGGGAAGCAATGAGAAATGTTTATTATGGAGGCATATCTACGCATGAAAGAAGAAACTGGTTCGAAATTTATTTTTATGCATGCATATGTACCAGTCGCATGCTGATTGAGTAATCGGTTCGAAAACTCGATAAACTAAACATGATATTCAAAGCCTGAGCCAAACATCTGACAAATCACAATTGCTATCATATACTAGTTACATCTATTTTATCTACCCAATCAAGTAGAGTCAAAGAGGAAAATTCGCTGCTTTTTACAGAATCACAAATCATCATAGTAGTGCGCTGATAACAAAATTCCGTTTTTCAAAGTCAATTTTTGGTTGAAATATTCAAGATACCATTGCGTCGAAGAATCATGGCTGAATTTTCTTCTTTTCAAGGTAGATGTCTTTCTTTTTGTTTAAAAGTACTAAAGAATTTAAAATAGGGAGTTTCTTTTCAGATATCCTGTATATAGAGTAGAAGCTAGCCAGAAGCAATCATATACCATGGCATAGATGTTGATATACGATCTATAATCGCATATCAATCACGCCTTGCTACAATACACTAACTACTATCTTATTGCAGCTTTATAGGATTAAGCAAAAGAAGTATGAAGAAATGTGTTCTAGAATATATACATATCTTTATATATATCTTGAATAAAGCAATCTTCCTGTGATTAGCAACAGCAGCCTCATGGTATTTTAGATTCTAATGACGCGGGAATTGCGCTAACAGGTTTTTTTATGAAAATAATTCGCTACAATTTGTCACTCAGATCACCCATGAGTACCAGACTGATAAAATGATCGACTGTTCTTCGATTTCCAGAAATTAAGTGTATGTAATCTATCAATTAAAAGTTTAAAAAAACAATTAGCAGAATCTAACAAAAAGTAACACGATATGTTTGTCAGATTTTCTATTACAACAACAAAACTATTTCCAAAGTTCATAAACGACAAATAAAACTCTTCAAACTCTATTTATTGGATTGGTCATAAGATTTTACTTGTATCAGTCTATTTTAAAAGAGGATAAATCTAAAATTTAGCAAATATGAAAAGATAGTGTCTTCGATTCTGAATTTATTACTGTCACACTATACATTTTATGATCTTATTATTAATGGACGTTGTTAAAAGCAGGTCGAAAATAGATGCGATGAATGTAGGTTTTCACGATGAATTTATATATGCTGATTTTATAGTTTCATTTGAAATCGACAAAATTAATCAGCTTTTTGAATTGAAAACGTTTTCCTAGAAAAAATGGATTAAGCAGAACTATATCGACAAAAATTCGACTCCTCTTATTAGAATAGTGCAAAAAGAATTAAAACATAAATTCTTACTCAACTTATTGAGCTCTCTCTAATCATGTATACAAAGAACAAAAAAATTGCTCGAGTTTTGCATTTTTTGAAATTTAGGAAAATTTTTTTTTTAAATAAAATCTATTCATTGACGACAATCCAATTACACATTTTTTTTGAAATTTCATTTTAGTTTTCGACACAATGCCATATTTTCGAGGCAGTAAAGAAGGTGTTCGTTCTAAGAGAAACAATGCTGCAAAGTAAACAACAAAAAATAATAAAAGTCATCTTACCCTGACAAATAAAAAGAGTAGTCAAGATATATATACTTACATTTTTCAACATACTATTCCTTCCTTATATTACACTGTGTATATGCTGTTTAGTCGACTGCTAGTATATAGCTCAATACATCCGATATATCTGTTAGTGAATAGTGAGCCAATCAGAAAATCAAAAATAGGCATACATCAGTCTTGCATTTCTATATCTATTGAAAAATAATTTGTCTAGTCTTAGTTGAGAAACCAGCTACAGAGAACACTGATTCTAAATCGTGCATCTAGTTAATTCAAGGTAGATCGACATAATCATAAAGAAAAATTATATCGTACTTTTTTTCGTTTGTGTTGATAATTCGATATTTCGACGTGTAGTATTTTTTTCATTTAATACCCTGTGCTTTTGTCTGACGTATGCCTATTACTGACTCTCTTTTTATCACAAGTCACCTGTTTAAATACACTCTTTTAAACATTGGAAATTTGTAATATGATAGCCTCTTGAAAAAAAAAGGCATTATAAAATAACAGGAGAAAGGTTTCTTAGTATATCATAAGCTTATTCGTCATTTCTTGCCCATATCATTATCGACGCAATTAATCATTTGCTCCTAATATATTTTACCGTATTGTTAGCTGTTTTTGTTTTCTGATAATGTAACGATATTATTTGCTTCTTCTTGATAGTTTTACCTGTAGTATGTAGTTTTCGCATAGTTAGTATATTATACGTACCAAAATAGACACACTCTAAAAATTAACAAAAAAACTGTATGAAACGTAAAAAAGGCTCTTGGTGTGGGTACAACTCAGGAAGTTTCGTTTTCACTCAATAGTTAGCAAACAGCTCATAGCTGAATCTAGTATTGAGTATCAGTGTGGATGTTCTTGTCCTCACCCACATCCACCTTTCTTGTTGTCTGTTCAAAATAATTTATTTATTTGAAACATATACAAACACTAGGTTTTGCAATTATTCTGTGTCGTGAAAAAAAATCTTTGGCTTCATTTATATGTTTCAGTTGTGTAAATACCTATTTTTTTTTCTTTTTATATTTCTTTATAATGAAGAGTTCGTTATAAACATATCACCAGTTGATAGGCCGAAGAAAAAAAAAAGATTACAATTTACTACATACCTTTGTGTAAATATATTTGTTTCTTTTTACAAATGCTAGCATCTTATAAAACTCAAAAACGAACCACTTATAGTAAGTTATTAGTATATTGTACTAATGAATGGGAATAAGTCAGATAAAATTGGAAGATTTAAATAAACTTTAAGTAAACAAATAATTTATCATTAATGTTAACATGGAATCATTTCTTTTTTTGTACAAAGAATGAAAGGAGTATACTAATGCATTTAATAAAGAAAAAAAAAACTTTATCACATATCACTATAGAAATGAGCAACATAAATTCTGTATCTATGTGTAACACCATCTCAATTAAATTCAAATACGTTATGTTTTTTCATTAAAAAACTGCTGAATGATTTAATTAATTTTTTTCTACAATCCTGTAGAATTCTTGTAAAACTTTCTATCCTATAAAATATACAGTCTCAAGAGAGACCATCTTCATGATCGTCAAGTTAAAAACTTTATAAGAACTTTTAGCTAGTCAAAAAAGTATTCCCCGAACGTTTTTCAATCAATTTTTAATTCTGATAATAAAAGACTGGATTTCATTAAAAACAAATAGCTTCTCTTACAAGGATCTAACCATATTTCATTTCCCAAAATGATTTATTATTAAAAAACAAATAATTCATGATGAGAGCTTTATAGAGATAAAGTAACAGTATAACTTTTAAAAAAAAATCTGATTAACGAAAGATTCAATTTTTATATTATTCAAGCATCTGTAGATACTCATCATAGTTAGTTTAAATCTATCAGATTCACTAGGATTCTGATTGTTCAATTTGTTAACACTCAACTCGAACGCAAATTCATAATATTTTATAATCGCCTTAAATAACCCACTTTGTATTTCAACAGTGAAATGACTTTGTCCAAATCTAATCATATCACTGTACTCAATGGCATTTGTGTAAGTTATTCGTGTAGTTAATTCAACATCAACTATATTAGATTAGTATTCAGAATAGAGGATTAATATCAAGATAAAATTATTTAGTAGTCTAATGATTAATACTTCCTCCAAAACAAAAAAAAATAAATATTATTTGTTTTTTTTTTAATTTAGATGTTTCCTTATCAGAATTATCTTTGCCTTCAAAACAAGAATCTAACTTAACTAATGATTTGCCAAAATTATTTTCAAATCTTCGTCAAAGTATTTTAAAGAAATTTCAAGATAAAGATGAAATTGATTTTAATATTTCTCATAATATTGAAATTATTAATGATAAAATTCAAGAAATTACACAATCTACTCCACTAACAGAAATATTCGACATAACACAAAAAGCATTAAATATTTTTATTAATGATTTACTTTCAATAAAAGAATGTCCGAAAATTCTTTCCAATGATTCATTTAGAAAAATATTTGATTCATTAATTTCTTATGAAAAAAATTTTTCATTACAATCTATTTATGAATATAATCCTCTTTATGCTCGTAAAATATTATATAGTTCATTTGATTTATTATCATCATCAACTATAATTGATTTTCTTAATGATAATTATCCTGATGAACTTTTTTCAAATATGGCATATATTTTATCGAGAATTATTTTTCATATGACATTATCTATTAATTATATTATATTTAATAAAGATGATTTACAAAATCAAGTATCAAATCTTCGATTACTTCTTGAATATGTTGATAAAAATAAACAAAATAAAAATCAAATTCTAATATTTGAATTATTACAATCTATTTTAATTTTTTTTGCTAATTTATCTGATAAATTAATATTAATTCCAACTTTAATTGAAGCAAAATGTTCAGATTATATTTTAAAATGGTGTACAATGAAAGATATATCTATTGATATTCAACATAACTGTATACATATATTTTATAATCTAGCACGACATGAACAAGGTGCTGAAATATTAAATAATGCTAATGGTATAAATATTCTTAAAGAATGTCAACAACGAATACTTAAATCAATTAATAGTTCAGAACATATAGAATTACGTTTATTGTATTCTATGACTGTATCATTATTAACTGAACCGAAAGAAAATCAAGAAGATGTAAATAATCTTCGTGAAATTCTTGATCAACTTATGCAATTAGTTATTGATGGTGAACAATCAATAGATTATAGATGTCAAGGTTTTCATATTAGTGAACCAATTGTTGTTTTAACTAAACTTTTTGTACATGATAAAATATTAAAATATGTTTTAAATGAATCATCTATTAAAAATATGACTACAAAATCTCGACTAAATGTTTTTTGCGAATTGTTAATGAAATTTCGTGGAGCATTAGCAAGTAAAAATGATCTTGATCAATTAATGTTAACCGCTCTATTTAATATTATATGGAGTATATCATTTCATAATGAATATATTAAAGAATTAAAATCAAATTCAAAATTTTTAATTACTGTTAAAAGTTTAGCAAATGATGATGGAAAAGATTGGATTGATAAATATGTTCCTAAACATATGTCATCAATACCAAAAGCAGCTAATGGAATTTTATGGAATCTTGATGAAAATAATCCAGGTATAAATAATTAATCAATGAATGATTATTTTCATTAGTTTTATAATTTTAGCTCGAACAACAATTGTATTAGAAACAAAGAAGCAACTTCAAGATGATGTTAATAAAACCAATCGAATGCGTGTTATGATAAGTTATTCACATACTGATAAAGACTTTTGTCATCAACTTGTTGCTGCACTTCAAAAAGGTGAATAGACTTTCTTAATAAAATTTTCACTTAAGTTTCATATAGGATTCTTTACACCCCTCTTATGCATCATATTTGAAATCAGCATTACTGATAATAGCTTTTGGAAATAGAAATTTGTATACTGTAAGTGAAGAGAGGTAAGATCACTCGCCGAGTTCTATCCAACAGTAACGAGAAGAGAAAAATCAATAGTACTAAAATTTTGAAATATGGCATAGACTGTAAATAAAGTGAAATTCGAATATCTCGATTCATACATACTATAAGTAATTCATGTTTTAAAATAGTTAGTTTAGTAGGAAGAATATTCCTTTTGATTCGAATATAATCAATTTCTTTAACTTATCGTACATAAACTTTTATCATTAATATATTAAATTGGAATCTAACAATAATAAAAATTTTGCTTTTGTATTCGAAAAAAAATGGAACATAGTAAAAAGTGTGTGTGTTTTTTTTTAAAATAGACAATCGCCTGCAAATTTGGGTAGATTTTGAATATTGTCATACGGAAGATCTATGGGAAGAAATAGGTCAAGCTATTGAAGCAGCAAATGTTATTCTATTTTTAATGTCAACAGATTATCAAAAAAGTAATTCATGTCGACAAGAAGTAATGTATGCAAAAGATTCATTAAAAAAACGTTTTATACCAATATATATCAAAAAAGACTTTGTAGCAACGGGTTGGTTAGGTGTACGTATTGTTGGTCCACAATATATTCGTTTTGAAAAAAAATCATTTGATGATACGATTAAAGATCTTATTAAACTTATTGTTGAAGATAAAAAACTGCAAGAACCTGCTAAAATACAAGTAACTGAACCTTCAACTAATCTTCCTTCATTCGTTGAAGATAAACCAATTGAAAATACAAATAATCAGATAAAACCTATTAAACATATTGATATTAAACTTAATCGAAAACCTTCCAAGAAATCCGTAGAATTATGGACCAAACAAGATATTTTACAATGGTTTTATGAGAATAATATTCAACAAGAATTAACTGATTTATATGATTTTCAACATGGTGTAGATCTTCTTCTTTACGGACAATGTCTTCGACCTGATTGGCAAATTGAATATAATGCTGTAAGCGAACGATATGAACAACAATACAATACAAAATTATATCGTGATCAATTTGTCCGTTTTGTTGGTGCTATTCATCGATTACAACCAACAAATTCCAAATTATGTATTATCTCCTAGAATCAATTTTGTTTTATTAATAAAATTTTCTAATTACATACAAAAGAAAATGAAAAAAAAGTCTCTAATATGAAGAGAAAACAAAATTCACTGTTGTAGTTATCCATCAGATATTTATCACATACAACCTAATGGATTTCATCATCTATCATAACTCTATTTACTGTACAAGTTTTAATACAAGTATCTAAATGCACAAAAAAAAATTTCTAAATGCTGATCAATAACTGTAAGATGTTCATCAACAAGAATCTTTTGTAATTGTTCATCATTTTCTTATGAACGAGATAGTAATGTTGAAAGACTTTAACGATAAACACAATATGAACAAGCATATGTAGAATAACGGAAAAGGTAACATTGACAAATTGGTGTTAATATGGGTTTATGTATCGTGATCATGTCCATCAAAACTTTGACCATTATCCAAAAGAACTAATTCGCATCATATGATGACGATCCAAATTAGCTAAAAGTATTAGAAAAACATTGAATTCAATGGAGTTAGATCACTAGTTGTCTTTTATCATGAAAATTTCAATCATAATACTGATTATTATAATTTTCAAAATATAATTTTTTTTCTGTTATGTTGAATAACTTCTAATAGAAACATTATAGAGACCTATTGTTTTCACCATTCAAGAGTAAAGATCTGAGCGAATCAACAATATCGAAATTTAAACAATCACTAATTGACTAATCAGGCGCATTATTATTGAAAAAATATTTTTCGATCAATCGAAAACTTTTTTTCTTTCGACCAACACAAAGCCGACATTTCTAGTTTAATCCTTTCGAGAGTCATAAGACTTCTTGAGATTTCCGATTTCAGACAAATGACCTGAAATCATCAAGAAAAACAATGAGGTAGAAGTGATACATCATGCTACGATGATGGATAATATTTCCTTTTCGGTTTGAATTGGTCTGATACTGTTATTGGGTGTGAGTGTGGAGTGTTGGTTTAGGTTTTTCTACTAATACTAAGCCACATTGACACACCCACACCCCACATCCTCTCACATAGGCTGATACCTACACACCCCCCCCCCCCCCTTTTTCAATATTTTATCGGAGAAGCTTTCGCGATACACAAATGAGGAAGAAATCAAAAACTTGGGTCCTGCTAAGTTTTAGTTGATCTATTGGTTATACATAAAAAAACCGACGTGCACTGTCTATCATTTGGAATAGCGGACAAATCTGGGGTACACGGGTACGTTTGTTTTGGCCTATAATCTTACACTAACTCTTCGTAGACTTAATGCATCGAGCTGAAGTTTTTACAGTGAGGTGTCTAGCTCGCAATAGATTTCCATTACAAATTGAGTCAACATCGAGTTCTTCAAACAAAAAAACTTTTGAGGAGAACTTCTTAGAGTCTTCATATTCTATTTATATTATAAACATTCACTAAAACATGATTTTTTTTCTCTTATTTTATTGATGAATCAATTTCGATGTTTCCTGGTTGCTTATAAAAAAGACCAAATACTTTAAATTGTCATATCTCGGTGATCCACTCATTCTTAGATAATATTCCAGGAACATTGGATTAATTAAATTTTATTAGAATTGTTTCTCAAAAATGAAAGCAAAACATGAAATAAAAGCGATCATTCATTTCAATGAATTGTATGAAGGTGTACACCATTCAAAGTCGATAGTGCTAGTTTATCTTGGTCGAACAGAACAGCACGGTATGGACATGGATAGTACTTGATTATTTCCTTTACTTTTCCATCTTTTGTTATCTGAAGAAGACGTTCTGTTTCATAGTCGACAAAGAGCCATTCATCACAAGTGAGTGAACAAGAGCGAAATGCTATTTTTTGAGTGCAAACAGTATCAGGTTGAAATGACCAGATGCGTTCAAGCGTCTTAGCATTTCTCAATTCAATGTGCACTGATTTCTTGGATATATTCATAATCATCAGAGCAATATTTCCATTATTGTAAACAATACCAACCATATATTCATCTTTATTACATAAGATCAGAGGATGTTTCCGTTCTCTAATGAATTCAATCGTTGGGAATAGTGTATATTCCATAATCGATGAGGCATATTCATTTGTGGAAACAAAAAGAACTGTGTCAGAACATGTACATGATATCCATTCTCGTTCTCGGATAGTATGCACCTCTTGTATCGACATTGTATTCTCGCTAATAAGAAAGATACTATTTGCTCCAAGTACAATGAATTGACCGAGTGTTGATGACCAACACATGTCACGAATTTCACCATATGACCATAATGTTTGTTTAGTGACATTCGCTTCTCGATCAAATAAACATAAATTTGGATGTTGATGTATCAATAAATGTTGACCATCGCAAGCTAGCGATTGAAAACTTCCTTCAGGACGATGAATAGTTTTGTATGTATGCGAAAGAGTTGATAGATTAATATCATGTTCATTTGTTTTTTGAATCGAGACGAACGTATCATCTAGTATTAACGGATGAGTTGTGATCTTAAAACATGTCTCTTCCAAATTTATAATATTACTTCTAAGCTGACTAATCTTTGATATCAATAAATCGATATCTTGATGAGTTATTTTCTGTGTATTGGTGAATTCAGTTAATTTCAATTGCATTCGATTGAGTTCTTCTCGTTGTTGATCAACCTTTTCATTAACAAGCTGATCAAGTTCTTGACATTTTTGTTCAAAAAATAAGTCAATCTTAGTATAACAATCTTCACGCCATTGTTCGAGTTTTCGACGACTATGACCAATTATTTTTAGAATATTTAACGTTTTGAGACGATCTCCAAGTACATTAGTTTCATCAGTAAATTGATTCAGTTGAGAAATGGCTAATGGATTGTATTCATTAAAATGTTGTAAACATAGATTTTGCTTGCAACAATGACACAATCCACGTGACATATGAATGCATTTCTTTATAGAACATGATTGATGCATTTGATGAAAAAATGTTAATAGAATTATTATGTTCAAAATATAGACGCAGCAAGAATAAAAAGAATTAAAAATTATATTATTTCTCAATAGAAATGTTTCGTTATAGAAGAAATGAAAAAAGTATTGTTTGCTTTTAATTTTATAACGAAAGTTAAAGTTTCATCCAGCTTTAAAATCAATAGAAAGAAATCATAGGAATAATGACTTTACAAGAATAGAAGTGAATGTAGATGTAATTTGAAAAGAAGATTCATAGTCACACTGCATACGTAAATCTACGTCTGCATTCACGCGCACATCCTCAAAATGCTTACATCTACATTCCTCTAACGACACCAGCGTTTCTTGTTAATATTCAATTTAACTATTTATGAAAGTGTGTGTAAGCCAAAAATTATATTTGATTTGACAATGACGATAAATAAAAATGTTTTTAATTCAACTATTTTCGAATATTTGTATTTAATTCAAAAATATCAAATAGTGATGTTTATAATGCATCAATAGAATTATCAAAAAAAAATTTTGCATTTTAACTTTGAAATCTCATTTTTTTTTTCTCATGACAGTATGATACTCTTTCATTGACTATTATATCAATAACTATTTCATATGTAACACAATATTTCACGAACAATTCTTTGTGTGTATTTTTTTTTTGTTCTCTATAGAAAATGATGAAAAATAAATACGACTATCAATTTTGACAAGTCATAATATAATATGACATTGAAAGAAAAAACAATAAATGAAAATGAGCTATTGAGGAAGCATATATTTCCGTCATATTTGGCATTTCTATCAGTGACAAAAATTTCCGATTGTATTATGTCTACTTTGAAGACACAATCGAGTCAATCAGAATATATAATGATACTCAAAAACATGCATTTGTTTTCTATATGCAATAACAAGATGATGATTTTTCACCGTAAGAAATAACAGATTATCCTTCCTCATTAGGTTTTACAAATAATCATCAAAACAATTTATTTGTTAAATAATAACACAGCTACACAGAATATAATAACACTGTAATTCATTGTTTGTGATCCATAAAATTTATCATATTCAACACTTCTCGTTTTCTAAGAATCAAAAAAATGAACTCAGAAAAAAAAGAACAAATATTTTTTTTTACGCCACCGAATTCATCATGCTTAAATTGTATCTTCACATTAGAAGAAGGACAATTTTTTCTTGACAGTTCTTCACAATTAACAGTAGGTCAAAATAGTTCTGCAATGAATACTTCTACGGATGACATGGTATGGGTTCCAATGATGGAAAATGGACGATGGCTCAAATTAGTTATCTTTCCTATTGTTCAAGTACCTTCATGTCTTTGTGCAATCATTCTTATCTATTACTTGATATTCAATCCACGTTTGCGCCAATCGTTATCCAATCATACTATTCTTCTATTGTTGGTAATAAGTCTTCTTTTCAATGTGAATGTTTTGGGTATTCTCGAAGATTATTGGCGTCGTTCATATATTTGGCCATCATCAAGTTCATTCTGTTCCTATGCTAATATTTCGGTCTATAGTACGAGTACCAGTAACTTGTTAATAATGGCTTTTGCTTCTATCGAACGACATATTCTTATATTTCACACAAATCTCACTAATTCATTAGTAAAACGACTCTTTTTTCACTACATTCCAATGATTTTCATTCCACTTTATGCCGTGTTCTTCTACATCGGAGCTATTGCTATCTATCCTTGTGAAAGTACATACGATTATTCCGTACGTTTTTGTCTTTGGCCATGTTATTATAGTGATAAAATACTTCCAGCTATTGAAGCAATTGTCAATGTTGGATTACCATTTGTAATTATACCTATTGCATCTATTTCACTCTTCATACGAGTTCTCTGGCAAAAACATTCCATGCAATTACAAGCTTACAAATGGAAGCGTGATCGTAAGATGACATTACAATTATTATCGATTACACTTCTCTATCTTATTTTGTGGATGCCATTAAATATGACATTCTTAATCAATTTATTTTGGTTACCCAATTTTCTTATCGAAGAACAAGTGAACTACATTTATTTAATGCCATTTATTGTCCAATTACTTTATCCGTTCATTGCATTCTTATCATATCCGGAATTGTGGCGAAAGAATCGACGAATATTATTGAATACTGTGACGGCTGCTCATACTGTTCAAAATAATCTTATCATGCTTACTCGTATTCGAAATAACAATTGATTTTCAATTAGGGTGTATGTGTGGATTGCAAGAATATTCACACTCACATTCATAAAAGACGTTTTTGATTTAGAACATACTCTACACATCGACGACAATAAACGTTTTAATTATCTTATTAAAATCTAGAACAGTTAACATTTCTTATTTTCTACTAAAAACAATCGAAAAAATTATAAGTTTTTGAGAAAGTCATTTACAAAACTTCAAAATATTTGAAATAGGTGAACTAAAAGTTTTTATTCGAAAAAATCATAGAAATATCTAGCAACCGTCTCTATTTTTCATTTTGATTACATTAAAAAGAAAAAAAAACTACAAGTATTAGAATTTGTTTCATTCAAATGAATACGTTGAATATAAAATCTAGGTGATGATAGTGAAACGAAAGACCTATGGAAATAATATTTCATGATATTTATTAACAATTAAATCTGGTTCAATAAGAACATAATCGTTATTCAATTGGTTAACTAATCTTGAAAGAATAGTACATATCAGAACATTGAAATATGTATTTAATGACTATAAAGATATTATCAATTTCAACCACGATAAATTAGAAAATATAATTAGAATTTCACAATGATATATTATTCAGAAAAACAAATATAAAGTATTTTTGGATTATATCATGATTATCATTATATTAAACATAGTTTCAGATGATAATCATAAATATTGCTTTTTTCAACTAGTGCTCGCTTTCATTCGAACTTGTTGCTATTTGCATGGCACTTATTTTCTTTGTTTTATTTCAATGTTTATAATTTATTATAATTAGACTAACTATTAAGATCTCAGAAGAACTTACATTGATTATTCTCGAGAGTTAGAATTTCATCAGTTCATACTTTTGTATTGTTTACATGACAGTTGTGAAAAATGAAAATATTATTCTCGATATCCACCATATAATTGTTGTTCTCCGCAGAAAATAAGAAACTGCGTTATTTAGAATATTGAAGAACGAATGTCAGTCATTTCAACTTCAATGAAGATTCTAGAACGTTCGAAGACTCATTATTCATATAGTTCAGAGCTGTTAATTCCGATTGATGATAATGTCTGTAATAGGAGGACGATGTGAAGCTGCAAAACTTCGGCTTAAAAGTTACACTGTCTATTTTCTTCGCTAAATATCTGTGAGTTTCATAATAAAAAGAACAAACAAATAAAATATCAGTTAGTCAAATTAAAAGTATTTCATTTCAATGCATTGCAAAAAAATGAAAATAGTTTCTTCTACGAAACGAGCAACTGCCTCATGTTTCTTTTGGAAAGAAAAAAACACACGATATGTAGGATCTCAAAAAAAAAAAGGGTGAAATCGTGAAGAATCTCCTATTCAGATTCAGTGGGAAAAATTTGCAACCAATGACATATTTGACATAATTTTAGCAAACATTTTTCTATCGTTCGAGAAATTCACCTGAGGTTAATGTCCTGCGGAAACAAGTCTTTTTGTTTTTCGTCTCTCGTTTTCTTAATGCTTTCAGAGTTTCTATTACTATTTACTTTTCTGTGTTTGAGAAAAACTATCATTATGAGACACTAGCTTGTGTCAATTTTTTACTTTACTCAACATGAGAGGATCTTCAATTAAATATAGAATTACCATTAAAGGTTTATTTTAATAATATAAATCAATAAGTATTTACTATGTCAAAATTGATCAACGTAAAGCTAAGAAAGTTATTGTCTTCATCGATTGAACAATTGACAGAACAAAAAAGGCTAACACACCAACAATACTGATGATAAAAAGCAAAAACATTCAAAAGGAGAAATAAAAATAATGCTATATTGCGAGATACTCTGAGAAATACTCCTTTCGAAGATGATAACGACAATGAAAATAATTATTGCTATAATTGAAAAAAAATTGAAATGAATAATGAATGAATTTGTATCATTTTTAGTGATAGACATTTTTTTATTTCTTTTTTAATTAATAAGCGATACAAAAGAACAAAGTTCGAAGAGTTTATACATAAAAAAAAGGATTTTCAGGAATGTCCATGTTTGTTATTCAATAAGAGAAAAACAGCTGATTATTCTAAAATTTTTAATCGATTTTAAATTTAAAAAAAAGCACTTATTGAAAAACACTTAATTTTAAACATTTTCTGTTCTGACTTGTAATATTTTCTTATAATTTAAGCCTGTATATAGAATATGGTTATCAAAAAATGACGTTTTGCAGATTAAGAGGATGAAGTTTATCATAACAAAAAGGTGATGTTTTTGATTTTTCCAATTATTTATATTGCACTCATTTTTTTTTTGGATTAAATTCGTTTTTTTTTATTTGATATTGACAGAAAATATAAAAGAAAACAACTTTTAACCTTGGATTTTTTAATTAAAGAAAAAAATCTTATTTCAACTCTTGTATTCTTAATTCTAATCCTGTCGTTTTGTTTGCTAAATGACAAACTTTGTTGTTGCTTTATATGTAACCATCTTGTTTCTTTCGACATCGATAAGGTGTAATAGTAGAGAACATACGATGAGCAAGACACTATCATATGATGAAGAAGTTTTTTTGATGGAATTTTGCTTGTCATGACATCAAATCTACCATGTTTTTAACACAAATCATTGTCTCAATGTTGATTCAAAGTGGTTAAACAAACGCGATAGAAAAATAGAATTTTTTTTAAATCAGTACAACTAATAAAAATCTCTTGATAATGTCTATATTTTTCTTTAATAATGTATTATTTCAAATAAAACATGAGAAATAAAGTTTGAAATAAAAAAAAAGACCAAATGGCATGAGAACGTCTCAACTCGTCACGTGACGAGTTGAACAAACAGCAAAAATCAGACCTTTCGTAACACCAAAACTAGGGATATCCAAAAATACAGGGATGTCGTAACGAAATTTACAGGACGATCGTAACGATTAATACAGGGAGTTCGTAACAGTTGCAGAGCTTTCGAAACGAAGCAACAGGGATTTCGTAATGAGGATGAGGGTGATAGATGAACTGAGTTTGCAGAAATTACATGCTTTTCGTTACAAAAGCTCTGTAATGGTACATATTAAAACACCAATTACGATCACCCTGTAAACTTTGTTACGAAACCCCTGATTTTTTGTTACGAAAGCCCTGATTTTGTCGTTACGAAAGCTCTGTCACGGGCTTTCGTACTGTCAATTCGTTACGAAAACCAGACAAGAAAAAACGTGACGAGTTGACACATTCCCAATGGCATTAAGTGATTTGAAATGATCATATCACACGACTTCAGCAATACGACAACTTTTATTCTTTTCTTTATAAAACTTTAAAAATCCCATTGCATCAGACATCATGCTTTTTATTTTTCTTTACATTTCCCTTTTATTTTTCTTTTTGTTTTCCTTGTTCTTTTACTTCGCTACTACTTATTATCAAAAAGACTTATTATAGTTTATTGACTTATGTTCGTCAATGGAAAGAATTTTTATTCTTCATCACACACTTGTGAATGCCTGACATGGCAGACAAATTTATTCGACAGCTAACACATAATAGTGAACTATTCGACAGCCAATGGTCCACAATCTATAATGAACTGAACAATCTATTCATCGAATGCGAGAAGAAAAATGTCGATATTAAAGATTTCAAAGTCAAAACATTGAATGCTCTTGTGGATTATATACTAGCTGAATCATCCAATTCAATACAAGGTAATGATATGAAATTTATATTTATTGATCTAGTTACCCAACTATGTGCCACTAATTCGCCACCATCGCTCAATAATCTCGTACGAATCTTACAACGTATTCTCGAAGTACCAAATATTTTTAATGAATAGTACCTTAGTTTTATCGAAGCAATACATTATAAATTTGATTTATGTACACGATTATCATCAAAACCGTCTGTAGACTTGATTGAATCAATTCTTAAAAGTTTACAAAAACATTCATTTCTAAATGGAAAATCAGATAAAGAAAGTGAAGATAGATGGAAAGAGTTTTTATCAGGGATTACAGGATTTACTGCCGTTGTAAACATTTATTTACAATTACATTTTCTTTATTTTTCTTTTAAGTAAATTATATGATTAAGTTAGATAAATCCAATGATCACAATAGATTTTTTTTCTATTTTCTATGCCAAAGGTTTGTTTTTCATCTCAAAGGTTCGTGAAAATAGATTGAAATCTAACTATAGTTCGTAATTAAATTCATCAATTGAAAGGAAAAAATTCTATTCTTTAGCTCAATGGTTTATTTTTCATCTCAAGCGTTCGTGAAAATTGAGTGAAATCTAACTATAGTTCGTAATTACTTTTACCAATTGAAAAAATCTCCTTTCTATGTCAAAGGTTTATTTCGCATGTCAAACGTTCGTGAGAATGTATTTAAAAAGTTCTAGTTTTTTTTACTTGTGCTCAATAGTCCATTTTTCATTCCTAATATTTCTAAAATGATTTCGTAAGAGGTGTGTTAAATCGTAAGCTTTAGGAGATTCTTAATTTCAGTAAATGGTATTACTATAGCATTATACAATTCATTTCTTAATTCTATATTGTGATCATTGGTTTATCCGAACTATAATTCATATAACTTACGAATTTCGTTTGATAGTTGTTAGTTGAACAGATGTAACAATTTTATTTTATATCTCTGATAACATTATTTGATCAAGAGATACATTGATATTGATATCAATAGTTAGATCCAGGATCAGAGCAGGGGGTGGGGTGGGGAGAACAAAAACAAAAGAAAAACAGTTGAACAAATAAATATTTGAGATGATTATTTTTTAAATTGATGAATGAATATAATTTTAATGAGATAGCTCGAATTTAATTATAGTCTTTTTAAAATTTGCATGTAAACAAAGGGCGCTTTATAAAGATTGTTTATGGCAGTAAATCCTGTATACGACCCATACCATCAAGATGCTGTCTGCGGTCATTCTATTCCGTCGTGGAGCGAGGTAGGACAAGATGGTGCGTGCACCGCGACCCTGAAATCCCTGACATTTTAATATCATATATTGTTGTCATCAAACTTCTTTCTCTTGCTTTTCAAAATAGAACAGAAAACAACAAAAAAGTACATCATTAATCTGGTATTTTTTATCTACCTTTTTTTATAACCTTTGTATAACCTGAAGTTGTTTCTTTTCTTTATATGGCGACAGAAATACATGAGAAGAATGAATATTGTTCACATATAAGATATTCAAGACTATCTCACTACTATGTTTGTATCATTACAATTCACTTTTTTTGTTGGTCCGATTCTATCTGAACTGATTCAATAACATCCTATGTTAATTTTATTTCTGGTAAACCCGTTTACAACGATAATGTCTATGAGAAATGTCAGATTCTGAAAAGTAAATTGATTTCTCAACCTATATCTGTATTTTCTGCAGAAATGACGCAAAAAGAACTTTGACCATCCGTGTCAAAAGAAAAATAGATTGGGCTCTGTTGTCAAACAAACGTTCCAATGTTAGCGCATGAAGTCGATGTAATCTGATTTCAATGCAAACAACCGAAATATTTTTGAGAAGCTCAAAACAGTCTTAGACGCCTGTTGTCCTTTGTAAAGATTTTTCATCAGAACCTCAGTAATCAATGTTAATGTTGCGCAAAGAAATCAAGTTTTAGTCTCATGACCGTCTCTTCCCATCTCATCGACGCTTCGGTCATCCTGTCCCGTTGCAAAATAGGGCAAGGGGAGATAATGGAGTGAGTATATTGTGACTTGCGAATTTTGGACACTTTTATATCATCATCAAACATATGGTAATGCCGTCGTCAAACACTGCTCCCTCTCGAAACAGAACAGAACACAACAAAGATAGTGGTTTAATCTCACGTTTTAAAGAATTAAGTTGTTTCTTTCCTTCCTACGGTGACAGAAGTACATGAAAAGAACGAAAATTGTCATAAAATATTCTCCATATATACAAGACATCCAGATATATATCACTAACATTCTCTGATCATTATAATAACTTACAACAGTGTATTTTTTCATAAAATTTTTCGTTAACAAATATGGTATCACGTACATTGAGCGCTGTTGATTATGTTCTTCTTGCAATACTTCTTCTATCCTCGTCTGTTATCGGTGCCATATTCGGATTTTTCAAATCGAAGAAAAACTCAGCTAAAGAGTTTCTCTTGGGTATGATTCATGTATTCTCTTCATAAAGTAATATTATAGTGTCTTCCTCTTACAGCTGATGGAGACATGGCAGTAAGTAGAAGTATATAATAGAATACAACTATTTCTATTATTATATGCAGATGTTTCCAACGGCACTGAGTATTATGGTGTCTTTCCTTTCGGCTATTACTTTAATAGGTACACCGAGTGTAATCTATATATCTGGTACTATGTATACTTACATAGGTAAATCGAATGTATAGTTCTAAACTGCAGCTTATTTTATTCTATAGCTATTTCGTGGATATTATCTGCGATGATTGTAGCACATGTATTTATGCCTAAATTTCGCGAAATGAAATTTACAAGTGCCTATGAAGTATATATTTATTTTTATTCCCTCCTTCCACCAGCAAAAAAAGCGAAAGATATATTCTAGTATTTAGAAAAACGTTTCGATAGAACGGTACGCATGTGTGTTTCATTGAGTTTTTCTTCAATGATGGTAATAGTCAATTTATTCTAATATATGTTTGATTCAATTTTCTTTGTCAAATATACAGCTAATCTACATGGCCATTGTACTGTATGCACCTGCATTGGCATTAAGTCAAAGTAATTTAAAAAAAAAACGAATGAAATTGATTAATTTTTATTTTAGCTACTGGTTTAAATATTTGGCTCTCTGTTGTGTCAATCAGTGTCATTTGTACATTCTATTCTTCTGTGGTAAATTTTAAATGGGAAAAGCAGAAAAAAAAGTAGTGTTGAACGAAAAAAATACTTTTCAGTACGATACAACTTTAACGACAAGTGAAAGTGAAAATCTATTCAAAATTGAATTTATTTATGATCATTCTCTCTCGTTCTTCTCTCGAATATGTGTGCGATGGAAAATCGTCGACAATAAGGGAAAGAAAAATAAACAAAACTCAATCGCTATCGTATCGAGTAGTTTCATTCCAAACAAGAACATAGTTTTCTCTCTTAATTTTAAGTGTTTTACAAAAAATGAATCTTCTTATGAATCTAGTCAGCTCCAGGTGAAATACGCTCGGTTGTAAACATCCTGTGCTTTGTCATTTTGGTAGGAAACGTATTGCAGACCGCATTATCGTCTCCAAGCGGCCGAATACGCATTTTTATGATCGTTTACAACATAACGATAAACGGGCATAGTATAGTCGCTATCAACCTTGAGCTGACCTCAACGATATGATAAGAGCGTATTCATCATCGTCTACGAGCGTAAACAGTCGTTGACAACACTTGTAATCGTTGTCCTTCGGTGGCTTTGAATTATTCAGCAGATAACGGTGTCAATTATACAATAAGAGATAGTCTCTTCTACCTTTGATGACATACTAAACAGAGGGTTATTTTCCGTAAGACCTTCGAAATTTCTATATATCTATATCTCGTAATTACCCATTGAACTGTCAGTTATACTCATCAATTTCATTTTGAATCAGATTTCATTTCGTATAAAATTGACTTTTATATCATTTGTTCATCTTGTCAAAAATTTTTCTTTTCCTAACTCTATTCGTTTATTTTTATTCAGGGCGGTATGAAAGCAGTCATTTGGACAGATGTTCTACAAGCAGTAGTAATAGTTATCGGCCTTCTGGCAGTCATAATTCAAGGTTAGAAAAACAACAGTAATAATAAAACCAAAATCAATGTTGAATAAATGGAATTTTTCACATCCGTTTAGGTTTGATTACAGTCGGTGGTTTTAAACAAACATTTTCAATAGCATCACAAGGTGGCAGAATTCAATTTGACAGGTATGCAATGGTACACTGTACATTCATTCCGAACGTATAACTGCGGATTCACATAGAGTACACCGAATCGATTTTGAAAATTCAACTTTGTTCAAACCTAGAAGCTAGTGTAATAACTGAATTTTACATTAATAATCACAGTTTAGTCAACTTACTCATCTAACTGACTTTGTCTTCAATAGAACTCTAGCCATTCTCTGTTTTTAGGATTAGCTTTGACCCTCGTACTCGTTTTACAGTATGGTCATTGGTCATTGGCGGTTGCTTTAATTCACTTGCTACATATGGATTTAATCAAACACAAATACAACGTTACCTAGCTATTCGTTCGACACGTGGTGCTAAACAAGCTCTATTGATTGATGCAATTGGTGGTTCATTTATCGTGCTTTTAACGATTCTTATTGGAGTTATTATGTATGCATATTATGCCGATTGTGACCCGTATACAAATAAACAAATCGAACATATCGATCAAATTCTTCCATATTTTGTCATGGAAGTGTTGGGTGATAAGAAAGGTTTACCGGGTATATTTCTTGCTTGTGTCTTTTCCGGTTCACTATCGACGATTTCGTCTGGATTGAATAGTTTAACAGCAGTAATCATTGAAGATTTTTATAAAGGATTAATGGGTAGACAATTGAGCGATGAACGGCAAGGTTTTATAGCTAAAATATTGTCAGTCGTACTCGGAGCTTGTATCATGTTGCTTACCTATGTGGTTAGCCATCTTGGATCGATTCTTAATGCAACTTTATCTCTATTCGGTGTCCTCGAGGGTCCTAACATGGGTGTCTTTGTTCTCGGTTTCCTTTTTCCACAAGCGAATCGACGAGGTGCACTTGTCGGATTTTTTTCGAGTCTAGCCTTGCAATTATGGATGTTTTTGGGTGCTCAAATTACACAAAATCAAATGGAAAGTGACAGCTTACCATTGTCGATAGCTAATTGTAGTGGTACAATGAATAGTACATTAATGAATCGGACAACGACTACAATGATATCCACTTTTTTGAAGTAAGATTAGTGATAAGAATTTTTTAAATAAATTGTCACAGAAAATAGAATGTAATTTTCATCTAGGCGTGATCTTCTTATTGACTTGTATTCTGTGAGTTATCTGTGGTATTCACCGATCGCAGTCGGTACCGTTGTGCTCGTCGGTATGACTGTTTCCTATTTAACTCATCCACTTCAATCACATGAGATCGATCCGAAATTGATTGTACCAGTGAGTGATGTTTGCTGCTGTTTTTTACCTAAACGATGGCGTGAATGGCTTCAATGTGGTATCGATTATGAAACCTATCGAAAGAGACAGGTATATCAGTTTGAATATGAATATAATTTTATTTGAATTTTATTTTTGAAGAATGATAACAATGAATTAGAAATGGTGACTAATGATACGCAACGTTCTGGTCGTGAAAGTCCTATTGTACCGCTTCTCGATACCAACTCGAATGTATTTGTCACAGGCAGAATTAAACTTCAGGCAAAATTGATTTCGCCAACACGCCCGAACAAGAGTTGTAATTTTGACTAGTCGAAAATCGTTCTGAATATTACAGTTTTCACTGCTGCTCATTCTAGCATAGAGGCGCTAAAGTTGATTTTCAAGGAAACTATTTTTCGACATTCTTCTTCCTGAAGCTAACTGAGGGTGTAGGTGTGGGGTGTGGGCGTGGGTGTAGGTGTGGGATATGGGCGTGAGTGTGCGTGTAGGTGTGGGCGTGGGTGTGCATGTGGATGTGGGTGTGTGAATGCAAATCTCTGCCTAGCCGCACGCCAATACAGTGTGTGGGTGTGGGGTGTGGGTGGGTGTGGGTGTCAGTGTGAGTGTGGGTGTGGGTGGGTGTCAATGTGGGTGTGGGTGGGTGTGGGTGTGGATGTGGGTGTGTGAATGCAAATCTCTGCCTAGTCGCCGCACGTCAATACAGGGTGTGGGTGTGGATGTGGGTGTGTGAATGCAAATCTCTGCCTAGTCGCACGCCAATACAGGGTGTGAGTGTGGGTGCGGGTTGGTATGGGTATGGGTGTGGGTTAGAGAGCAGCGGGTCCAGGTTTTTATGGACTCGGACCCGGGAAAAGCAAAATTGTCGGACCCGAACCCGGATGGTATTAGTTTTCTAGACCAGGACCCGGACCCGGGCTTGATATATTTGGGCCCGGACTCGTTCGGATCCAGACCCGTTAAGTGTTTCGCCAATATCTAGCACCCTCTGTATATATGAACAAGTGAAGGCTCATGGTTTTAGCTGACTATTCGTTACCCTCAGAAGAAAAGTTTATGTACACTTATTTCTTATTGTTCATTTGTTCATCATGTTATCTCATGCTTAATAATTAAAATTTTATTGCTTAACTGAAAAGAACATTATGCTAACCAAAAAGAAGATTGAAGAATTAATTGATAATCAAAAGGCATCATTAAAAATTGTCAAACCAATAGTAACACAGAAATCTTCAGATGTATGGAATTTTTTTCTCATATCTATGTGAATATTGTGAAACCAGAATATGTTATGTGCAATAAATGTCGAGATTTACTTATTTATAAACACTTCTGGTACTCATTCACTGGCCAAACATATTGATATATCTATTGAAGACGAAGAACAAGAATTAAAACGAAATATTAATTTTGTTTATGATGAAATAAGTACTACATATTTAGGCGTAATCAAAACATGTTATTCACATTCATCTATTTTTTTTCAACTTCATTTGTTATTTGTATGTCAAATGACTTGTTAAATACAATATGAAAAATGGATCTGTTTTCCTATTCAAAACAGTAACAGTCGATTGACTATCAGAAATTCATGCAGATATTCGATGAGCAAATTTATGGAACATTTAATGTAGTCATCATCGAAGGTGAATGAAAATTTTCAATCGAAATTCTTTTAAGTTTGATATTTTCATATAAAATCAATCCATCAATAATCCAGGAAAACAATTATGATATGATCTTGTTCTCTATTTTCAGAAAAATTCGAACTATATTCCTGGTTTTTTTTTGATTATTTTAGGACAGTGTCTCACTTCCAAAGCCTTGGAAAGCAGTTCTAGCACATGTCATGCTTGCATATCAATCAGAGAGAGAGAGATGCTTATTAAATCTGTATGGCTTCTTGAGTTACAAAGTGGATAATCCTTACAAAGCATTTGCGATAGTCAGATATTAAGTTTGTATGAATTATTTAACAAACACAAGTTACCAAAACAATGGGTAGAGTTTCACGAAGAGAAAATTTTTGTAATTAAGTTTTTCGAATGATTGTTGGCTTGACATATATCAGATGGGTGGTGGTGATTCGCTGTTCGAAAAGATCGATACAGGAATTCGCAATGCAAAATGTATACTTGCTTGTGTTACATCCAATTATACAAAATCGATCAATTGCGGAAGAGACATGTCTTTATCTGATGCACTCGGTAAGCCCATTGTGCCATTATTACTCGAAGCAACAAGTACATGGCCACCATCCGGCCCGATGGTACTTGTTTTTACCGACAAACCATATATTGATTTTTGTCAAATGAATGTAAATTTTCGAACGAATGATATATGGCCATCTGAAGAGTTCGATAAAGTAATTGCCCGACTACAACAAATAGTACCTGAAGTTCAAGTAGATAAGTATGAACGTTCAGTCAACAAACAGCAACAACCCATGGTCGTATCGGCGTCCGTAGAAAATAACAAGCAACCAGCATCAGTTGAAAGTACAACGGTCGGTTCATCGAGTAAAACATGCTGTATTTTGTGAATGCTTGATATTTTTTCTTAGACAAAGACTTAAAAAGTGTACTTGTAGTGCGGCAGAGAAAATATAAAATTCGAAATTGATCATCTGAAATCGGCGCCGAATAGACTCAAAATTCTGCATAATGTCCTGGAAAATCGATCAGATAGTTCTGACTGTTCCAAATAATCTGTAATGCTAATGATAGAACTAGACTAACTCCACATGAAGACATAAAAATCTATCAAATATGTTCACTATGTAATAATAAAAAGTATTTTCATCTTTCGTGCTTATTCAAACGTGCGCGTACATATTTAATATTGTGAAATTTTCTAGCAATGAGAAAGTTCTCCGATAATAAACTAGTTCGAGAAAAAGTAGATGAACTTTCTGTTGCGCACATTTATCTATTTCTCTAAGCAAGTTCTCCTCGATTTTTATGCTCTATTCATGTATGTTTTATTTCTTTCGAATTCACTACTAAATATCATTTTATCAGTGTTTGTTGCATCAAGAGTACAGAGAAACGATAATCTTTTCTAGAAGCTCATGTCAAGCTTAAAATGACTATTTCATCGTCAAAATCTGCAAAGTTGATCCTCTAATTTTGTCTAGAATTGAAGAATAATGAAGCACATAGAGAAGATTCAAGTTTCTAGAAACGATGTCAAGATACCATAAAAGTAATTCTTGGTTTCCAATAACGTCTATCAACGATCTTTTCTCCAATGAACGTTCTCGATCTAGTCAATTCAGTATTTGAATTAGTAGCTGAAACATATTGTACAATTTTTGATCACTTTAAAATGTCGATTGAATTTTATTGACAATGATAATCAGAAGCAGCAATAACGCATATAGCTGTGATTGTGTATAGGCTTGTGAATCGTTTACCAAAATCATTGTGTGTCTTAGTTGATCTCCATTGTCTAATACACAGCCGTCAATAAACACAGAACCTTTCAAATTGACTATCTACCGACTGACCCTCGTCGCTACGCCAATGCCAGCATCTACATTGTCTTGAGGATAAAGTGACGATTGATTTTAAAAAACAGACCATCATATGTATGATTAATATCTATTGAAGAAGAACTACTACAAGATAAATATAAGTCAAGAAATCTCGATAGACAGACACTTTCAATATCTATCCATTAAAAAATCACGATACAACTTTATAAAAAAGCTCTTTTCAATCAAACAAATATTATACTTATAGACGCTGCGAACGTTACTTGTTCAAATAGTGAAAACTGTAGGACACATTTAACGAGAGTTATTCGAAAATAGCAACTTGACTTGAAATCTGAAACGAAAGTTAGCATCTGTTCAATGAATCATCAAGACTATTTTTCAAGTTAAGTGTGACATTAGTAGTTCTGTGAGGACAACATATATGACGAAGTTTTTTTTTTCAGGAATCTATGCTGTTTTAACATTCTTAACCAATGCAATGCAATGTTTTCGTCAATTTCAAGTCCTATATTCTTCTAAATATTCTTATTATTCAATTAGGTATTGCCTGTAAGACGAATGGCCATCAGAAGCACTGTTACCGCATTTGTTCCGTATGAATTGAGTATATTTCACAATAACAGAAAAGACAGACAAAGCAAAAAACTAAACGAATAAGGATAGGTTAGCGAAATATTTTCGATAGAGGAGAAAAAGTCATAACAACAATAGCCATAGAATCATCAGAATATTGATGAACAAATAAAGGAAACGAAAATCAAAGTGAACAATTAGAGACTACTGAGAACGTTGAGATTATGAAAAATATTTGTGTTTATTGTATTTTGTCATGTATAGTAGATGATTAAGTTTTGATAATATCATTTCAATGTATAATACCCGTTTCATGATGTTTTGGCATTTGGTGGTGTTCAAGTACAGGAACAGAAAATGACCCAATTCTAAAATGAAAATAAGAACGCTACTGCATTGAAATACAGTTGCATAAACAGAATAACCTGTTTGGATCATGAATATGATCAGCATAATAAACATGAACATTTTTTCCTTGATATTCATCTAATAAGGAATGTCGATTAACATGTTTTTGATCAACATAAAAACGTGCATGCTATAAAGAACAATCATCAATGTAAATACATAACTGTTAGTGTGTGGTTCACTTATATTTGATATTTCTTCTTTTCCTCTGTTCTGCTATTGTGATAGTAACATATATAGGAATTCTTTTCTTTTCTTCATAATCAGATATTTTCTGAAACGTTATCTCTTTTTGATATTGTTGCAATATTTTACCTTTTGTTCATGTTTCCTTTCAACGATATTTAGTTTTTTTCCTAGTTTGTTGATATACATATGACGACTATTCGATTAAAACTGTTCGCTAAACAATAACAGTAAATATAAATAACACAATACCTCTGCAATATCATGACCATAAAGCCCGCTTATAACTGTTTCCAATTGATCACTGAACATAAATTCCCGATCAAGAATCTCACAACGGTACGCTCCTATAGATAAAACTTACTGATACCATTCAATTATACAATGAGAGAAAAAATAAAGATCTTACCTTGTGTACTTCCTTTAACTACTGAAATATGATGAATAGATGTGCCTTGATGACCTTGAGGAATATGACTCATTGTGAAATTTGCAGTTGAAAGTGAGCCTTTTTTTCTTATCTGAAAATGTCGCTTATTAAAGTAATACTTTGAATTGAATCTTAACCTCGAAACAAACATGATATAGACTTTAATCAATTTAAAAGTTATAATTATAACATTCCTCTTAACAAACATTGCCATATTTAACGTTTGTACAAAATGATCGATTACTTACGATAGATAATAATACATAAATAATTATGAAGAAAACTAATGTTAAAAATTATTTGCAACATGTCAGATACTAAGAAATTATCTTACTTTCACATTATGAACGATATCGTATTGTTTTAAGAATAGTTAAAATAATGATAAGAAATAACGAAACATCCAACATCATGAATTTAAAAGAAAACTGAAGAATGTAAAGGCATTCATCAATAACATTTAAAAATCATCGAGTCTCTACATGAATAGTAATCATTGTCTGAATATAAGTTTGTTGTCATCTGTATGAGCATTTGTCTGTTTTTTTTTGCGTGTAAGACTTTCATGACTCAACTTTGTCTTTTACTTTGTTTTTATGCTCACGATGTCATTCTGCTAATTAACGAAACACAATAGTTAGTGAATTTTAAATTATATAGCGAGAAAGTTGGTTACACTCATCTATCTTACAACGTAAACGTTTCTGTCTTCAATTTAAATTGGTTCTCTCGTGTGTTTTATATTTTAACCATTTATGAACTAGTATTATATTCGAGAGGTATAATATTTAGCATGTCATTGTGTACTAAGCAGAGAAATGTTCAATAGTTATTTGAATTTTACAAAATTTCTTTTATTGGTGATACGATGTGACACTAACAAAAATTTTCATGTGAAAAATTGTTCACAGATTTGCGATAAAAAAGCACAAGAATGTTTTTTTTTCAAGCAATTCTATTACACATATAAGCAACAATATAAAACTACAAAAATGACGTCAGCAACATTGTTTGCATTGAGTAACCAACCAAACATTCTGTTTCAATAACGTACCTCTCCAATGAATTAAGCTATGGGTACTCCTGCACTTTAGTCATACCATCAATGATAAATATAAACAGAACAAGAAAAAAAATCTATTGGTTAGCGCATAACCATCGAAGAGCAGGAAGAAAAATAAATCATATAGATGTCATATACGAACGAAAGATATTTATTAAAAAAAAACAAAAATTATTGAAGAGAATAATTTTCAGGATTTATATATGAATATTCTTTTCTAACCAAAATTTAGTTTTCTTTGAAAAATCCTCTCATTATTTTATTATTGATAGAAATTATCATTTATGCGTTATTAGTATTCAACCAATTTATTCATCTTTTTTTTATTACATCAAAGACATATATTACTTTATTAGAAGATTCATCTTAATTGATAGAGCAATACATTATTCAAAAAACATCTATGAACAGTGTTCTTTTATGATATCTATATGTTTTATTTTCTTCCTGTTCTTCGATAATTATACGCTAACCAATAGATTTTTTTTCCCGTTCTGTTCATGTATATCATTGATGGTGTGACTAAAGCGCAGGAGTACCATTTTATCTTGTATCCACTCATACCGAAAATAGTCTAATGAAATCAATAGTTTTGATAAAGCGTCTTTGAGTCAAAGTTTCAAATGATAATAGAAAGAGAAATAATTTATAGAATTAAAAGTCCAATTAAAATGCCCTCCCAAGCAAGTCAAGACCATCCAACGATACGTCACAAAATTCTTGAAAAATCGAAAGGATCCGACCGTGTTGGGTTCAAGTATTCTTCTCTTAGAATCTAGTAGATTTCGAAATGCTCTCTCGAATAACGCTAATCTCTCGATAATCCAATATATTGGGGAGCAGTAATCTCGAAAGAACAGAAAAAGCATTTGTAGAGATTACTATAACTTGAAAGGAATCACTCCTGATTACTTAATCTTTGTTCGATTTCAAAAGAGCTCCATTATAATTACGGTAAAAACTACCTTTCATTTATGGCAAATTGAACAATCGAGAATTCTCTTATGGTTTCATGTTTTCCTTAGCCCAATAATTTATCTCATGCATTTTCAGTAAAATTACTATTCTTTTTTTTCCATGTATGATATTGATACAATACTATACAAATGTAATACTTTGCGTATGTCATCAAATGAAGCTCTTGTTTCATACGATACAGAAAAAGGTCACCTTCTCGATTATGTACTCTCATAAGATATTTATCCGAATCACAGATGTCGTCACAGACATTCATTTATTCTTCATAAATTTAGTATGAATTGGATACGGCCTCTTCTGCATTTCTATGGTATAAATCAAACAGAATAAAAGTTAAGTGAAGTCAATCGAAGATCCATCACACAAGTAGACTGAGTTATTCTACTTAAGCGACTGATAAATTAGGGAAGCTTCAGCTCATGCTCGAGCTTGAAAACACTTTCATAACAAAATCTTCAATGTTGATTATCGAAAAAAGTGAGACAAAAGCATTGTTTTATTCCCCAAGCAATAGCTAATTAATAACACTAACACATATTATCTAGAAGAAAAACATATCGTCTTTCAATACGGTTTCTGGTGGAGTATTATTATAAAATAGTACATATATTAACGTGTTCTTGTTTTCTAAGCTTTCCACAAAGGAAGCCTGTGCGTAACGCGACGACTTTCATGATATGTTATGTCAGGATTTGGATCGACGAGACCGTAGGCAAATAGAAGAATATTTATTCCTGGCTGGAAAAGAGAGTATATGAAAAAGTGTTGAATATGAAAAGAATAGATATTACTAGGATAGGATAATCCATGGAGTCTTTTGTATCCAATGCACGCTTAAATTGAATGGCCGTCCAATTGTTTTCCTCTCGACCTTGCAAGCCAAACCAATCTTGTGTTGTTGAATCCTTGTTTGGTGTTGTAAAGCCAACAGCATATCGATCCTAGTTTTTTTTCACAAAAATAATATATGAGACCGCTTCAATCATAGCTAGCTTTACCTCAAAATGCAGTTGTCCACTTGCATCAATCCAACCTATGCCCATATCTGCGTTTTTACTCACTCCACCAGCTAGAATAAAGATAAACTAAGAAATTCATACCTTCTCTATAGAAGGTCTTTCTTCTACGCTGAATGTCTGAAAGAGTACAATCAGAAGCTGTCTTTCTCTTATCACTTTTTGATGTTATGTGAATGTTAACAAATCGGGGATGCATTCAAGGCTGAAAGATATTCTGTTGCTTTGGACGGAAAAAGATTAATTCTCAGTGATTAGAGAAATAATAGCATTTTTTTTTGTCTTCTGTCGTTTCGAAATAGCTCTCGGTTTCAGCTGCTACTTCGTTCAAGACTCATGAAGTTAGATTCAGAAATATAAGAAATTGAATCTTTGATTTGGCATTTCGAACGCAACAGCTGAATGCCTCCTAAAATACAGCTTTTTAATCGATTCCCCAATACAGTTGTCCAGTCTCTGTTGACTTGAAATTATTCTTCAGATGAAATTTTTACCGCTTCGAAAGCGGACTTACATATTCTGTTCCTACACTATCCCGGTTCCTTATTGAGAGCTTCTGTATCAGTTTTCAATAGGAATCCGAAATGTTGCTGTTTCTTGTGAAACCTCAATGAATGTTTCATAAGTTTCATCAGACCGTCATTTTTATATAGGACTTATAGACTTAGTGTTCGATAACAAAAAATTGACCTGTATCAAAGACATGATTAATGCAGTATCTTACGTAATGCAATACCAAGACCAATCCATCCTGTCGTTTTGACGTGCAACTCAAATGTAATCTCCTTGTCGACATCGTTTACTGTCCACCACAATTCTGCGACATTCTCAATGAGTTCAGTTGCATTTTGATATGTTGCAAACAGTTGAATGGGACTCGATATACATTGAATACGACTTGTGAATTGAAGCACAATCACTACAGTCAGGAAAAGTGAATTCTAAATAGATAGAAACCTTAACTATTGACATCGATGTCCTATTCAACCTACCGTCATCCTTGTGTTCCGACTTTTTGGAAGATGCTTCTGTAGTAATACCGATGAAAAGATTAAAAAAGACAAATAATGGATTAGCGAACTCTTCGTATAGATAACATTATCATAAGATTTATACGCTGGCAGTTTTTTGATACGGACAAATATTAGAACAAAACAAAAATATCAAAATAAAAATGATAAAACAGAAGTATTTAAAAAAAAGCCAAAGTTTCCTTTGATATTACAAGTCCTTTGACATGGTCTATCCTTTTCTTACTGCCAAATATTCCAAAGGTTTTACTCGATCTGAACACTTGTTCGATGACTGATGTTAAAAAATAGTAAGAGAAACGCTAATGTTAAAATCTCCATTAGATCTTGTCGGCAATCATCCATTTATTTTTATTTCAAGTGGGAATTAGGACACGATAAGATGTTAAATGTCATGGTTAATGATGATATGAAAGGAGTATGGTATTAATCAATGAAGTATTATAATTCGGACTGCTCATGTACTACTTGACATCAAAACTATTCTCCAATAGCATGATTTCATAGTATTTCAGCATTGTTCTATCATCAATGTACTTCGATGGAGTTACGTGCATTCTGAGTCTTGGATGTCTTAGCCAGGATTTTGAGGTGACTTGAATGTCACTCTCAAATGTGAAACTTCGAAAGCAAATACAATAAGCCGAAAGACTGAAGCGAGTGAATGATTGTATAAGGAATTCGATGGTTACGAAACTACTGAAGTACGAAAAGTAGTGTACATAGATAAGAAACTGCGTCTAAGAATATGATTATAGTAAACCAGACAGATCTCAAACATTTCCTATTTGAAACTTTGAAATCTTGAAGCTTACATTTGAATAGTTAAAGTTCTACAATCAGAAAAGTTCTTTTTGTTTTCCATCGCTCTTTAATAATTGTTGAGTTGTTTCATTTTTCTTCTTATCTCATAATTCATCGTATATTTGAGTTCATTGATGAAATAATCCAACATTGAGAATCCTAAGACACCAGCTGTTAATCACCGACTTTTTATCAATGAAGAGAATCCGTTCAAAAAGAAATTAAAATAATGAATCAGTAAAAAAAACAACTTTTCTTGGAATATTAAAATCCCATAGGTTACACTTGTAGTTTCTTATACTCATTTGATTCAACACATGGAATAGTAGCTTAAAACTTATTTCTTACAGAGTGTTTCATAAGTCTTGATGTGTGATAAGATTAGTTTATATTTAGATAGAGCATAACTTCTAACCGAATGTTTTTATGTGAGCCTTGCATGCTCGTAATAATTTTTCAAATGATATATAATTGAGTGATATCTTCTCTTATAATTATAAAAATATAAACATGAGAATATCAGGATGAAATTTTCGCAATTGATCAACATGAATTTTTAATTAAAAAAATTTCCGGAAACACTGCGTATTTTTATAAATACCCATATTAATTAGATTGAACAGTAATCTCATTTGATTATCACATATTTGTTATCTACAACTTGTGATTGATTCGCCAAATCCCTTTAGAATTATTTATCATTTATTTCATTATGTGTTCAATCTAATTTTTAATTATTTAAAGCTTAAAATTGTTCTTCTCGTACTTTTTTCTACACTTCTAGTGAGCCGTACTGTCAACAAATGTCGCGTTATTTTCTTATCAAGAATTAAATAATACAAGCATTGTTCTTTATTTTTCGTTGTGCACGTCAGCCTGAATATGTAACTAGTGGCTCTTGATGAGTGCCGAATAAACGAATAAAATAAATAATATTTAGTTTGTACTATGCTATTTTTTTTGTTGATAGAATATAGTCAGCAGTTTATTAAAAATCTTGAAGAAAAAAAATCATGTTGATCAATTACGAAAACTTCACCATCACATTTCCACGTTTATATTATTTCTATTACAACAGAATATATTATCCAATAATATGTCAGTTAAAAGATTGTTAAGAGTACTCAAGGCTCCAATAAAAACATTCGACTCCTAAATATTATCTGTCTGTACATAAAATAAGTTTGTTGTGCTTCAAGATTTGTGAAACACTCAGTGTTAACGGTAAGGATATTAATCTATTCTACAAACATACTCACACTGTCAAGACCAAATGAAGCGTAAGAATCAAATAATAGCAATTGCGTTGAAAATGATCAATTTTTCGTAGACATTAAGAGAAATTTATCTGATATTCATGATCATATAAATCTCATCTATTTAAGAATGAAATAACATGGGACACCTACTGTAGAATAATTGTTCTCTTCTATCTAGCTTATGTTTATTAATCATTGTCTATTTTTGAACGATCCCAACTACTACACATCCCTCAGCAATACACATAGGTAAATGTGCTCCTCCGTACGGATTGATTTGCTTTCTGCAAACATGAATTTTTTTTCTTGATAATAATCAATTGTCTTGTGCTGTTTATCTTGAATGTTTACTGTTGCTATATGCACTCCATTTATACGTAGTGCGCAGTTAAAGAATTCAAAAAATAAAAAAACAACAAGAAAAAAAGAAGGCAGAAACGAAACCGAAGCGAAGTGTAAAATATTGTCATATCGCAAAAATAAAAAACAAATCACTCAATAAGCAGCATACTTGGCATGTGCTATGCTCAAACGAAGTTGAAAGGTACAATCACTGAAATTTAATCGGTATAGTTAAATTTGATTACTTCATTATGATTTTCAACTTATTAGAAGGATTTCTAAGCCTAGACAGTGTATTTTAAACATCATACATAGAGCTAAAATAAGATCAGTACACTAATAGAATGGATTTCGACACGTCTAAAATTGACATCCATGATCAATTCATAATAGTTTGTTGATTAGCAGTCTAGTGCATTTTCCTGGTTGCCTAGATGGTACAGTAATTGAATAGTTTTATGGATTTTCATTCTAAGATGCTATCTCGATTTTACATACTTCTTTCCTTTCTGTACCTCAACATGACTGATCGATGATTCTGTTCAAAAAGAAAACAGAACGTAAAATCTTGGTCGATAGGCTTCATACATCTATCTCTTCAAGTTTGAATAAATATCTTCAGGTATCAGATTGAAAGTAAAAAAATTTACGATCTAACAGAAATGTTTGTCATTTTCAGAAGTAAAACTGAGACTCACACAGAAACATTTCAGCAATAGTGGAAGCAGATATCTACGCCAAAATAATGCTTCAAATCAAAGATCAGGTGTACTGAGGCACATAGCCATGTATCAAAAAAAGATTTAAGTCTTTTGTCACAAAGGACGAGAGAAAAGAAAAAAAACTTCACTTCATTCTACAATTCTTGAGACGAACAGAGTTGCGAAGACCTCCCGTACATGCTTAAATGTCTGCAAATGACTACGAAAACACTTTAGATCATAAGTTATTTATTCAGCATTCGGATGAAAAGTTTCCGAGCGCAATGTACAATCCTTACGGCAAATACCTTAAAGTTAGAAAAGATATTCTAAAATGTGAGTTAAACTTAAGATAGAAAACAGATTTTCTAATTTAAATGAAGCAACGAAACAATAAGCTGTAAATTGTAGTATATAGATAATTGTACTGCTTTTGTAAAGTTGATGTTGTTGGAAAATAAGAAATCTTTGAAAAACTTTTCGATTAGAGCGAAGTTATACAATTAAGAGAATTCTTTTAATGAACAAGTTCACTTCTCATTTCAATTGATTTATCGATTAATATAAATTGAAAACTAATGTCGATATAATCCTTTTAAAACATCAAGTTCAATTGACAATGACAAGTGATTATAAACATGAATTGATATCAAAATATACGATTGTATCCTATTTTTCTGATATTTTTAATAATGATGGATTTGTGTTTTAGTTAATAGAAATCATTATTAATACTTGTTATTCAATTAAATAATTTTAAATAAAAGTTCAAAGAACACATTATCATATTATTAATAAATAATCAAAGTTCTTGTGATTTTCAAAAGATAATGTCTTTTACTTTTCTGACGAACTTTTAGAATACCTGGTAGACTAACTGAAAAAGTTTCGTTTGAGTATCAATTCATCAGAATGAAAGCGAAATTCGTTAGAAAACAAGAATATCGTTGAAATTATATTTGTTTTTGGAATACTATCTTTTAAAGTAATTAACAACACTATGTGAAACAAGTTGATCTTAATTTTTCTAATACTAGTCTTTCCTTTCGACAAATGAATATCCAACTCTACCAACATTATCTTTGAATACAAGAGAAAACAATATGATCTAATGTTATTCACAGTCATATTACGCGTTTTTATCATTAAGATAATCGATAGAAACAGAATCTATTTTAAGTTAAGATTCTGGTTGATCTGATCATGTGTTTATTTTATTTAATGTAGTGAAAAAAATTCTCTACATGATAAGACTTTTTTGAAAATGGTCTGTTTTTTTCCTCGAATTGCTTCTAATATTGATTATTTGAACTGATTGCATGCTATGTCTAGCAGACTTGTAGTTCTAAAACTAAAGTGGCGCACTTATTATTCGCTGTTACAATTAATAAAACTCATTAACAAAAAAAAATCAAGTGTCTGAAATTTATATGTGATCTATGGTATGATAAAAACGGATAAGATCTCATGCTTTTTATTTTCGAAAATACAAATAAGACAACTTTACTATTCGATCAAAACTTCAAAGAATTGTGTTATATAACAAAAATAATTCGGATATAAAAGTAGCTAGTGATCTGCAGTATTCAATATTTGATTGAGGACAGATAACTTTATTAATTTATGTAAAAAAATAAACAATCAAGCAGCAGTTAGTATTGATCAGGTTTCAGTGATTATTTTGGAAATGATGCCTTTAAAAATTTCATCATAACATGTTGACTTTTAAGATGCTCATTGGATAGAGAAAATCAAGACCAATCTCTCTAAATATTTCTGTAGTCAAGTTATAACCATAGTTCTGCGATAATAGAAATCGGTAATGGATCACTAATGAGTTGGTATGAAAGATTTTCTCTATGCTAAAAAACAAATAGTAGTGTTTGTTTTCTATTCTAAAGTAACACAAATCTAGGACAAAAACCTTCTATATGAACTCATTTCAAAGTTATCTGTGGTCAATTGAACGTTTTTGATAGTTGAAGAAGCATGCTTATAACTTAACCACACAATTAAATGATCACTGAAAATTGACCAATCCTGATCTCTGCTTGATTGTTTGATTTATTACATGAATTAATAAAGTTATCTATTCTCTTTCGAATACTGAAAACTGTAGATCACTAGGTACTTTAATGCATGATTTATTTGTAATACAATAAAGTAGGTCGAATTTTTGGATAAATAGTAGTTTTTTTTAACTTTTTTAACATAGCATCGTAAACAATAATACATAAAATAATTAAAGTAATAATTTAACATTTGTTTTAGATTACAAAAAATATTCATACATTTGACAACTAAATCGAAAAGATAATATTGAGAATTTCTATCCTATGTAGTCTCGTTGATGAACATGGCATCGGACAATAACTTTTATAGTGACGATGATGATCTGTTTTTTGAAATTTTCTGTCTTGTATGGTTTGATGATCGTACGAATGCTAAAGAAGCCCGAGATGCAGAAGAAAAATTACGTTCTATTGTGAATAATCTCAAAAGATTTCAAGGTGCAGAACAATGTCAAAGATATATTGAAGAAAGATCAAAATATAAACAAATAGTTATGATTGTTAGCGGTCGATTGGGACTTGAAATAGTTCCTTCTATTCATCACCTTCGACAAATTATATCAATATATGTGTATTGTCTCAATAAGGAAAGTCATGAAAAATGGGCTTGCAAATTTGCAAAAGTAAAATTATTTCGAATTTTTTTGCTTTGATTTTATGATGTTTTTTTTTTGTTGTTGTTATTAGGTAAAAGCTGTTGTTATAAAACTAGATGAGCTCATATCAAGAATTAAAGATGACCATAAAATTCAGAAAGTTATTAAAGAACCATTATCAATTAATTTATTTACAACAGTTTCTGTCGCAAGTAAATCAACAACTGGCATAAATGGTAAATTTGTTTTTTCTCAAGTTCTTATCGATTGTCTTCTACGACTGAAATCTACTGAAGCAGATAAAAAAAAGAATTTATTTATTTATGTAAACAATAATATGAAGGTAATACTATTGAATTGAACAATCTTCGCGAATTCGAAACAATTTATTCACCTGATAAAGTTTCATGGTGGTATACATGAGAATCATTCTTTTATAAAAGTCTTAATGCAGCTTTACGAAGTGAAAATATTCATATTATTTTTTTATTGCGTGCATTTATTTCTGATATTCAACATCAATTGAAAAATCTTCAGACTCAAAAGTCTCTAAAAGTCTATCGAAGTCAAATGATATCAAATGATGAACTTAAAACTTTAAAAGAAAGTCGTAGTCAATTTATTTCAGTCAATTCATTTTTTTCCACCAGTATTAGTTATCAACAAGCTCTTTCATTTCTCAATGTTCTTGATGATATAGACAATTTAGAACTCGTATTATTTGAAATCGATGTTGATCCTAACATGGCTACTACAAAACCATTTGCTGATATTAGCTCACATAGTGAATCAAATGATGAATCTGAAATGCTCTTTATGGTTGGTTCTATTTTCCGTTTGAACAGCGTGAGTCGCAGTAGTGATGATCCAGTATGGATTATTCGAATGACTCTGTGTAATGAGAATGAACATGATTTAAAACAAGTTCTTATGTATATGAAACAGCAACTTGAAGATGGAGAAACGAACCTTCGAACATTAGGAAAATTACTACAGTAGATGAGCGAATTTGATCTGGTTGAAAAATACTTTATTCGTTTGTTAGGACAACTTCCTGACAATGATCCTTTATTTCGTGAATTGTATGAAGATCTAGGCAAACTCGCATCCTTAATGGGTGATTTTGATAAGAGTGTTCAATGGCATCAAAAAGCACTTGCAATCAATAAACAAAATCAATGAGTTTCCATTCCTAGTGCTAATGAAGCAAACCTTTCTATTGGTAAGTTCGTTGAAAGAAAATTTATTGTACTCAAGCGAAAATCGTACCTTAAAATTAGTGTTTTATGAAAAAAAGAAATTGTAAAAATCAACCAGAAGAAACTTGCTAAGAAAAGCATACTCAGCCTCATTAAGAAATCTAGCTTTCTACTTATTAGACAGCCATTTTAGACGGTCTAAATAATTGACTACTAGAATTGTGTTGATCGAATGCATACCAAATATCATTCCATCATCTACATGGTTCTGTTCGTTGACATCTATTGCATAATAATGAGCTAAATAAGTCATTTTTATATTCTTTTGTTAATATTATATTAATATAAGTAGAGGTTTGTTCAACTTTAAAGCTTTATATTATTTTAAAAAGTATATTACTATTCATTATATGATTGACTTATTGACAAGTGTTACGCATTGTTGTATACTTTGCTGGCACTTGTGAAACAAAGTTCTGAACTTTTGAGTACTTTTCATTAATCTCTTTTTTGTGAAAAACAATTTAAAAGCAGTACTGAAGTATATTGCATAGAAATTAGGACAGTCTTTTCTTCTCCTATATTAGGCTGTGATAGATGCTAGTTAAAGACCATCACAGACCATAAATATCAATAAAATCTCATTCTAATATTTGTACTGCATCTTTGTTGCATTTCTAAAAGATTCAATAAAATAATGATAAACATATATGTTCCAAAATAAATACAATAAAACGAACTTTAATTACAAACAACAGCTACATTACGTTTCACACTGCAATCCCACACGAAGTATTCAAATAGATATTCTTGTTAAAACTATTCACTATCAATTTAGATAATGATAATAAAATCCTACAATCTCATAGTGTTTTATATTTAATTCCTGTAATAAATGTGCTATTAAAATACTAAATCAAGATGTTTTGATATCTTCTTGTAGCTATAATATTAGTCATACTTAGAGCTAAGCAAAAATTCTGATCATAGTGTGTAAAATTTTACACCGTGATCAAAACTTTAGATCAGCCCTGTATCAAAGTTTTTCCAGATTATCTAGCAAAAAAATATTGATTCATTGGGGAGTGTCTTTTTTTTCATTTGAATATCTGTATTTAAAATTAATCTTTTATTTCGATTCTATGCATAAACTTTTCTGTATCTATAAATAAGAAAAAAAAAACTCAATGCACCGTTTCGGAAAATTGCTAATCTTAGTCTAATAACACTCGTGATATTTGCAGTCGGATTTCAACTATAATAAATGATATTAGTTACATGCCTATTGTGTCGGTATCATCGAAAGTTCATAGCCTAGTTAACCATAATTACCTTAATGGTAACCTCTGATACGTTAAAATCTGTGACTGAAAATGCTCAGAGAGCTTTCAAAACATTAATAGATTTTGAGTATCTACATGCTATTCTTTCAAGGAAAAAATCGTGAGATATATTTGTTGCCCGAAACAAAAAGAACTGTCATTTTGATGAAAAAAGTCTTCATTAGAATACATGAAGGTCGTATTGTTGATGTATTTATTTTGTACAGAAGTGATAGTCTGCCATCCTTATAGGTTCTTCCAGCTTCACAAGCACGATTATCGAAGAAAAAATGAGCTTCATCAGAGATAAATTTTTATTGTGTAGTTTGCACAATCGTTCATTTCATGAAAAATATTTTCTTTGTGAACCGTATTTTAGACAGGAGACGACCTGAACACCGTTTCAAAGGTGATTCATTGGGTATTGAATGGATGTCAGCCGATAGTAATGCAGACTACTTAGCAAAACATCTGCGAGAATTCTTCGAAGTGTACAGTAAATAAGACAATTTTGAAAAACTCATATCCGATGCTCGACTCAATTATATTGAAAAAGAATTAAAAGAAAAGTCAGATATAGACAATATCAGTTACTTCTTTCAAAGAGCTGTAAGAAAAAAGAGTCCGAAGTATTTACTTTACGCATACACCAACGAGATCGAATTCAATCGACTATTAAATATAAATTTAACACAAGCACAGCTTATTGTGACTGAGCCAGTCAAACTTCAAATCAATTAATACTGTACTTACATTGTTGGAATCATTCTTTATCATTCTCGCTTGGATCGATTTAATTTTCCCGGCGAATGTTATCGTGGCATGAATATAAACAAAACTGAACTTGAAAAGTATAAGAAAGGCGTGACATCGCCATCAAGTTTGTTAATGGTTCAACCTCCGACAATACCATCAGTATCTTATGTACATACGATGTTCGCAATCGTAGAAGTGGACTTAATCTCTAAACAATATCAGGAATTTAAGACGAAAAAGAAATTCTGATTATGCTATATACGGCATTTAAAATTATTGATGTTATCTATTCGGATAGTGACAATGTCAAGATTAGAGCCGAAATAAAGTTAAAAGAATGTGAACCTCGGTAATATGAACAGGCTACATTGAAAACTTGAAAAATTTTCATTGAAATTCAATTCAGTGCTTTGAAAAATAAGCGCAAAAACTAATTTTAATATAAGAAGAACATAGAAATGAAATGTATTTCGTTGAGTTTTGTTTAGATTGAGTCAAGATATTCATCACATTGCTGCCAACACTTTGCTAATATTACATTGAGTAACTTGAATATTAATATTGATGACTAGCGCTATATTATATTCTTTGTGACTTCTAAAATAAGTTTACAAGAAAACACTAGCTAAGCTTACAATTTCGCAAATGAAAAACAACGATGAAATTGATATCAAGCTATGGCTCAATAGGTGGTTGTGGACATAGCGTTAGACTTTCTCCTATTTTTATCTACAGCCATGGCCATGCCTAAAACTTCTCTTTTTGTTTTTCTTCTCTTTATTTAAATATGCTCGAATGATAAAAACGAAGAAGTTCAATAGATTTGTTTTAAATATTCGAAAATCATTTTTCGAATAGAATTGAAACAATATCAACATCAACTAATCAATAATAACAAAATCCATTGAATTGAGGAACTATTTTTTTTTTTAATTGACTTCCAATAGGACCTATATATTTTTCAGCTACAACAATAATTCTCTCTTCATAAGTTTCATTAAATCATCAATTATATTAAGATTACTATCAGTTAAAATATAATGTATTATTTATTGAATTAATATTTATCAATATAAGATATTGTGCCATATTTTTCATATAAAGGTAAGTCATATCATTTAGTTGTTTTTTTTAAAGGCTGTTTTTTGATAACATTTTAATTCTTCTATATTAGTACGAATATCATTTAATACACGATAAAGATTTTCACTTTTAAGTGATGCATTGAAATAAATTTTCATCATTAAAACGATAAATTAATTCATTTAATGTACTACAATGAAGAATTGATCGATCAAATAAAGAATTTAAACGTGACATATATTTTTCAAGAAAATAACGATTTACATAAACAGAATTTTGAGCAAGAATAAAATTTATTATTTCTAATTCAACATCAAATATATATAAGTTACTGTCTAAGACTTGTTGAACAAGATCTGATTTTATATGATTGATGTAGGTGCCGCTTACATATTCGTTCACATTCGAATCTACATTCACATCCACACCCTGTGAACAACATGTGAAGAAGATGTTGTTTTTGGTCCTCAAATTGAAGTTATATTTGAAATGAACATTGCAAATGTGCGTAATAATATATTTTTAATTCATTTGCTGATATTTCTCCATTTAGTTCATTTCCAGAAGAAGAAGAAGAAGAAGAAATTTTATTCTTGGTTCGTTCTGTTTTTCTTATTGATTCTGTTGAAAAAGAAAATTGAAACGATACAACATGAATTATTAAACTTATTTTAAAAAATGAAAAAGTTGAACAGATAGAACAATGAACGAAAGGTGTTTAAAGATAAATTAACTTCTGTAACGTATTAAAATCATTTATTTATCTAAATAGATGATTTAAACATGTTCGAAAAACATTACAAAATGTTCACAGAAAAACGCCGCTGTATTTTTATCGTTGGATGATGAAAATCATTTAACAGGACAAATTGTCTATCATATCGGTGGTTTATGGAAAATAAGGAATAGTATTGAAAGTACATGATGATGTTATGCAAAAGTATTAAACATTTTCATTAGTCATAATGTTAATGTGAACGTTATATCGCCAGAACTTATAGAAAAAGATTTGACATACACTAAGAATAAAATAACTATAAAGTTGCCATTATTTGGAGTATTAGTAAAATACATTATATATTCACTACAACTTCATCTAAGGTCATTTTTTCCGAACATTTATTTTTTTTTTTTGGGTTTTTGGATCAGGATGACTGACGAGAGATCTACTTAAGGTGTTGCCTTTCATCTAAATTTATTTATATCTCAATAGATATTTAGTATTCTATATAGATTTTTGTCATTAATCGTATCAATCTTCTTGCAAATACTATCTATTTGATAAGACTTGAACAATCGAAACAATAAAAATTTCTACCGTAGTAACTACACTTACACTCTCATCCGATCGTCTTCTTCATTATAGATATATGTATTTTGATTATGATTCTTGTTTTTTTTTTAATTGAATCATTTCGAACAAATACGATAGAATTAAAGCCAACTAGTGATCGTCTTTTTCGAAGGACACTATGGCTGGATCTTGGCATTCCAAAACTCAATATTTGAATTAGAAAATGATGTTTTTATACTTAATTACTTATTTTAGAACAACAGATAACTCAATCGTTTCATTTGTACTTTGTTTCTATTTAAAAAAAGAAGAAGATATTTATTGATTTATTAATCAGTTTTCTTGACTCATGTTTCGAACTTGTAACTCATCATCAAATGTATAGAACGAGAGACAACAACTACACGTGAGACGAGTAACATGTAAATATATTTTATCTTTTTCTTCGATGTTATAAAATATATATGTACATATGATGTATCTAGCAGATTGAAGGATCATGATGTAGACAAACAAAATCATTCAAGTGAAAAAAGATACATGTCTCGATGTTAACCTTGCGGAACAATAAAAATACATCGATTGATTGGATACAATCATATTCAGACAGAACAAGGTAAAGGAGAATCTTTTCTATTTTAATTATATCTCCAAACCAAAATCTATATGAACTTCTTACCAATTTTTACTTTCTCTGACTATGTTTTTAGATAATAAATATTTTCAATAATCAAATGTCAAGTAATATTGATCACAAATCAATCTGCAATATATGTAATAAACCTTTTAACGATCCAAAATGTTTTCCCTGTGAACACATGTTTTGCAAAATATGTATTATACAATGGTTTGAAAAGAATAATACATTGTGTCCAATATGTCGACAGTCTGTTTCTATGAAAGATATGACAGATATTGATCCGATTCTATATAAGAAGATTAATAATACTCATAATGACATTAACAAACAATGTTTTAAAGTGAATACACATAATTTATTATCAAATAATAAATATCCATCAAATGAACAACAAAATCAATTGTATCAGCAATCATTATCAATACTTGTTTTTGAACCATTCCGATCTATTTTTGCTGAAGTTTTTAATAAAAATCAACAATTAAACGAAAAAACATATCAATTAGAAAAAAAGTTTCATCGAGAACATGAAATTTATATTAAAGATCTTCAAGATATTAATAATCATCTTTATACATTTGTTGATCAATATAATGATCGATTGAATAAAGATCAAATTCAAATTGATGAAGTACGAATTGAAAATCAACATTTGAACAAACAAATTGACGAACAAATAATAAAATATAATGAACTTCAAAGTGACAATCAACATCTTAACAAGAAAATAAATCAAATTGAACAACATTATCAAAATCATGTTAAAGAACTTGAAAGTAATAATAATCATTTAAATACAAGCGTCGAACAATTGACATATCAATTAAATAATACTATAATACAAATAAAACGAATTGAAGATGAATATCAACAACAAATCAAAGAAATTAATCAGTTTCAACAACAAGCTCATGAACAACAACAGATGAAAATAATAGAATATGATGATCGTTTGAATTTATATAAAATTCAAAATGAACAACTTCAACAACAAATTGATACACAAAATATACAATATAATGAACTTCAAAATGAGAATCGAATTTTTAAAGAACAAATCAAACAATTCGAACAACAAGATCATCAAATACATATTGAAATACTTAATGATAAGATTATACAATTGAACAATAAATTAAATAATTATGAAATTCAAATAAAAGCAATGGAAAATGAAAATACACAACTCAAAATACAAAGTCAAATTCAACATGAAACTTATATAGAAAAAATCAATGATACACTTAATCATCTTACTAAACAATTAAATAACAATGAGAAACAAATTCAAGAATTACAAAGTGAAAATCAAAAATTTAAAATACAAATCGATGAACAAATGAGACAATACATTGAACTCTCAACGGATAATCAATCTCTTAAAGAACAAGTACAACAACTCGAACAACAGTCTCAACAAATTGATCAGATTCAAAATAAACAAGTTGAAAATTTTAATAACCATTCAAATACATTTATCGAACCATTCAACAATCATTTGGATTATCATGAAATTCAAACAAACCAATTTCATGATGAGAATAAACAAGAATCTCCATCTAACTTTAGGGAAATAAATCATATTGACGATTGTCGTAGTTCATGGTGTACACAATTGAGTGATCAATCGAAAGATGATGAAATGTTCGAAAACGAATCTGAAGCTAGTGATCAAAGTCAGAAAAAAGTAAGAATTCGATTCGATGAACATGAGAATCAAACCGAAATGGATACTAAGTGTTTAAGAAGTAGAAGAAAGTTTGTACTAGGTGAGTGAAGTTAAAATTTAAAAGGGTTTGTTTATTTTTTTTTTTTTGAACATTTAGAATCAAATCAATATCAAAACTTCAAACTTAAACAAAAAATTCGACAACAAAAAAATAATTCACAAGTATATTTAAAAGGACAAAAGTTAATTGATCGAGATATGAATATAATTATTGAAGAAGCTATTATTAAAAAACAATGTACATGGCTCTATTTATCATCAAATAAAATTACATCAATGTGTGTTTCGATTTTAGCTGAGGCATTAAATAACAATACAACATTAGAACAATTATATCTATCCGATAATCAAGTTTGTGATAATGGTGTTTATTCACTTATTAAAATACTTTCACTCAATAATAATATTCTCAAACGACTTAATCTTACAAAAAATGGAATTACAGAAATCGGTGCAAAATATCTTGCTGAAATGCTTAAAACAAATAAAATATTAACTCATCTTAATCTTGGAGAGAATGAAATAAATGATCATGGAGTTCAAATATTGTCTGATGCAATTGAAAATTATAATACAACAATTCAATCTTTGGATATTTCATCGAATAAATTATTAACGGATGAAAGTATCGATTATCTTCTTCAAATGATCAAAAATAATTCATCATTAAACAAACTTCAAATATATAATTGTAGTTTGTCTGAAAAAGGCAAACAAAAACTTAAAACATCAGAACAATTAAAGAAAAATTTTAAAGTGTGTGTAAACAATTTTTTCGTTTAATAAAATAGAAGATTTATTTTGCTTAAAGAAAAACCACATTCGAATTTATTTGAACTTAGGAAAAAATTAACTGTAAGATATTTAATTATTCTAATCATTATTTTAGCATTAAAACCAAACCAGTAGTTCGATATGATACCATTGATTAGTTATAGTTTGAACGGTATATATTAGTATTATTAATGCCGATCTTCAACTACAAAATATATATTAGGATAGTTTTTATTCTTCGTTTTGTATCTCCAGATTAGAAAGTTACCTAATAGCATCTTGATGACTAATGTATTATTATGTTTGTTATGCAATAACATGAGACATAAAATAAATACAAGTACAACGTTATTGTGTTCTTATTTGACATATAAAATAATTATGAATACATTTGCTTTTCTAAAGTATACTTCTGTTTTTTATTTTAATATCAAATAAACGATCAATCGTTAATTTAAACTTAATTTCAATATATTTTTCCAAGGTTTTATTTATATTTATCTTAACTGTAATTCTAATATATCGAATAAACATAACTACTAATAATGAATTAGTTGTTGTTGAAATTCGATGTTATCCGGATAATCGAAATGCTCTTTCTAGTGTATTTGTAGTTTAAGAGATTTTGGTATATTTCTGTTCCCTTCCTATTAATATATTGTAATTTTTATCAAAGCATAGCTATTAGAACATACAGCTACGTTTTGTTTTTAGAAAAGAAGGTATTTCTATAATGATAAAAAAATTCAAAAAACTAATTGTGATGACAATGATAAAATCCAGTCCCGTGAAAATCTAGTGATAAAGATATTTTTATTGCAGTCGATCTATTTTCTAGTATACAAGTGGAAACTAGACTATAAACCTACACGATGATAAAAAAAATTAAGCTCTTTCAAGTTAGATATATGTCAGCGTCCAAACTGAGATTACGTCCAATCTCAGATTGGCCTAGGCGAATGTCAGATCCGAGATTCGACGCGTCCAATCTCGGATTCACGCAATTCAGTTCATTAAAATATCAATTACCCTTTAGACAGACCTTGGATTCGAACTTTTTTTTGAAATTATGTTCACACAATGCCAGTTTGTTTGGCACAATTGTCATTTGGCAGATTTGAATAAAATTTTAGGAGTTGTGAATGAATTTCTAGAGAACAACAACTTTTGTGAAAAACTTTTATTACAGTTTTGAGTCTAAATTTAGCTTCTTCCTAAATGCTTGTAATACTTAAAACGGCATTGTGTGAACATAATTTCAAAAAAAAGTTTGAATCCAAGGTCTGTCTAAAAAGTAATTGATATTTTAATGAACAGAATTGCGTGAATCCGAGATTGGACGCGTCCAATCTCGGATCCGACATTCGCCTAGGCCAATCTGAGATTGGACGTAATCTCAGTTTGGACGCTGACATATATATATATATTTACAAAAAAATAAATAATTGATTTTATTTTAACATTAAGGAAGTTGTTTGAAGAAGTTCTTTTCATTGTGGAAAATTTTTCATTTTAGCGATAGATTATACATCTCTGATCGGAAAGTTCACTTAGATAATGTTGTTTTTCTAGCAATATCATCTAAATAAATTTCAAAATTTGAGCATTACTGATTGAATGATCTCGAGCACAACGAAAACTCATTGATATTTTCATCTATGCATGTCACAACACCAATGCCAATCAGAAAAAAACACCATTCATTTTCAATAGTTCAATACCATATTGATGTATTGCAACAACAAACCTACTTCTGTCACATTTAATTAAAAAATTTTTCTATTTAAATTCTTTATTTTCACTAGTATTTCTCTTATTAATTTTTGAATTTTCTTCTATTGCTTTATTTAGAAAAATAAACAAATATTGTATTAGTTAATTTTCATTTATTTCTAATAATCAAAAGTATATAAATAACCTATCAGTTTTATTTTAACTCTGATCGAAACTTTTCCTATGTAGATGTGAGAAAGAATTTCAAGGAAAACTTGTAGATTCGATGCACAATTCTACAATTTGAAGTATTTCAATTGCTGAACAATTATCTCTCGAGCTTCTTATTGATTTTGATCCAATACTGTTAATAATGCACTATCACAATGACAAGTTCGATTAAACATGAATGATAATTTTGACAAAGAATTTTTTCAGCATAATTAATATGAATATAATGTAGAATAAATACAATTCAGTGACAAAACTTGATAGAATTGATTCTTGTAATCTTTATTTTCTCTTCTTGTTTAAGTTGATGAAATACTTCAAGTGTTTGAAGATTAGGTAAAACTTGAGAAACATGTTCAAAAAAATCTTCAAAACGTTTAATAATCTATGAAAGAATATCTCTTTCTAAATCAAATTCATCAATAAAATGATTTGGTCCAATCATTATTCCCATGATTAGCAATAATAATTTAATAATCAACGTTTGATAAATGTTATAGTAGAAAAACCATTGTTCATAATGAAAAATATTTCGATAGATTATTATTGTTGTCAAATATTTCAACTTGGAACAAAATATCTAAATGAATCTGATTAACCTAAATCTCAAATTGGAAAATATAGTTCATTGTTGTTACAGTGAATGAATGCAATTGTGAATGTAATTGATGCAATAAACAAACTCAATCATAAAATCGACATAATGTCTCAGACACACGAGTACAATTAAAGATAAGAACAATCCTTTTTTCCTGAATGGTACTGATAGACTACAATCATGATCAAATTCGAAAGAGAAAATTGAACGCATCATGGTTAGCAACGGCAGAACAATAAGAGTTTAGCAATGAGTGAATCGAAAAAAATAGAAAAGTTAAGGTACGATTGAGACTAAATGATGGTGGCGTAACTAACTATCATAATAACAGCCTAAAGAGATTGTAAAAAAAGCAACACATTACATGAAAAGTCTTCCTCTTATCAAACATTTAATATATTCTATGAAAGTATCATGTAAATTCATCTTTTATATCTCTTTTAAATCAAAATAAAATTTCTAATTTCTAATGAAAATCAATTGCCCAATTTAACAATAAGCTATGTCAATATAAGTTAACTTAGAAAATTACAGTTGAGTATAACTTATTGATTGAATGATGTGTTCCTGTATTAGAATAAACTAGATAGAACTGTTAAAAATAATGTAATCAACATACATTACTTAGAAAAGTCAACTAGTTTGTAATACAAATAAAGAACAAGTACAATGGAAAATATATAATTTCATAAGGGAATGAATACTTTATGATCCAAAGCACAAAATAATAATAAACTGTTGTTGCCTAATTTTGGAAGTTTATTAGATTTTTAGATGAGCTTGAAGATAAGTAAAATAAAAACTACACAGTTCAATACAGTAATCATTGCTCTATTCAACTATATCAAAACAAGAAACTTCGGTGGTTCTGTATCAATACAGCATATTTAGCTAAATTATCCAAAACTAACGTAGTTAAGCTCTATGCAGAAAAAGACTCGCTAAGCTTTGAATCCACAAGAAAAAGAGGAGAATATTTGATAAAACCAATAGAATAAAATTTTATATGCATTCTTTTGCGTTTATTTATTTTTTTACCGAACTCAATACAAAATATATTACAAATACATACACACTTTCGAATCAATATATATTAATTATGCTTCATATAACAGTTCGAAAAACAAGAAGACACCTTCTTGGAAAATTTAAAAAAAATAACGGATCCGTAAAAGTCATTATGTCCAGAGTAAATAGTTAAGTCATAACAAATACAATATTATGAATTACAATAAATGAATAATTGTTAGTAAATTGTCCAGCTTGATTAAATAAACATGACACACAGAGCTCACCAATGATTGATTCATATCAGTCCAGTACACTAGAAAATGTTCAAAAGCAATACTGGCCGTATTGGTACAATTGGTACCACCATTGGATAAGCAACATAAGTATAAGGATAGACGTAAAACATCTTGTATACGACGAGCAAAGACGATAAATATTGTGAATGTAGTCTGTATCTGTTCTTATGGATATATATATATATACATAGGCCTCTGGGTGACGTTTTTCGAGATGATGAAATTTTTCTTTTTCCAACATGACTGATCAAGGTTATTGATGATAAGATCAAAAAGAAATATTTTTATAACGCAATAAAATTATTTCTGTACATGACGTTTAATAATGATTAGTATTGTTGCCAAATATTTATTCGAATTTCAAAAGACATATGCGTCACTTGGAAATTACCGTAATTGTTAAAACACTTCTTTACTCTTGAAGCAAAAAAAGAAAAATACCTGTATTAGTCATTCGATTGATTTGTCGATCGGATATAGTTTATTAATATTTGACGATACATAAGCAGCAGAGGGAAAAAACCTACCATTGCATGATTGATTGACTTTTCACCTTCAATTAATCTTACCTGTTGATTATTTTTATTTTTTTCATTTCTTCCTTCATGATAAGACATGCTCCTTCCTTTTTTTATATACAGTGATGATATCGATCTTGTTTCTCTATCTCCCACATATAATCTTTCAAAAAAATGGTGCACGAACGTAAAATACAACTTTTATCATGTTAATAATTATAGGCGACCATATTTTGATAATTTGAACACATATCGATTCCAGTCAAACCATGAAGAAAAATAGATATTGCTTTAGTTACTATGAATTAAATAAGAGAAAGACAAAGATAAACATATGATATTTTGTTAATAACATTGCAAAAGAAATTATCTTGATCTTTTTATCTATTGAAAGAAAGAATATGCACAATATGATTAGAAATGAGGTGAGAAGAATGTATTGTGAGGAAAATTTCAGTTCATATTTAGTCTATCGAAAGGAGAAAAGTATGATTTGTTGATAAAAAATGTTTGGTAGCTTGTGATTTTGAAAAAGTCATTCAGGAAAAAGCATTGTTGGCAATCTCTATTCTGTTATTATTTGTAATAATGACACGAAATGATATTTTTCGTTACAAAAACCCTAATGAAACACTTCGACAT